ATCAGTCAGACTATAAAACAGACTATCAACAGAAATAAAAGTGTAGGAAAATATGTACAATCAGAAGAAAACTTTTTAGAAAGTGATTAATGCTGATTGAAAAATAGTCATGCAAAGAACAAATACGGCAAAAATGGGCTCAGATCTCTACCTAATACCATGCACAAAAGTCAAATCAAAGTGGATTAAAGACCTCAACATCAAACCAGAATCCATAAGGTACACTGAAGAAAGGGTTGGCAAAACCTTCTATGACACTGAAGCTAAAGGTATCTTCAAGGACGAAATGCTTGATCAGGCAAGTGGAAACAGAGAGATAAACAAATGGGACTGTCTTAAACTAAGAAGCTTCTGCACCTCAAAAGAAATAGTGACCAAAGACAGTCTACGGAATGGGAAAGGATATTCACCCAATACAAGGCAGTGGTTGAATTCTACATGAAGAAAACATCCAACCCCATCAGAAAATGGGGTGCTGAAATGAATAGAAACTTTCTCAAAGATAAAATCCGAATGGCTGAAATGCACAAGAAAAATGCTCTTCATCACTAATCATCAGGAAGATGCAGATCAAAAGAACAATGAAGTATCATTTCACACCACAGAGACTGACCCACATCCAAAAGAACAAAAGCAACCGGTGTTGGCGGAGATGTGGGGAGAAAGGGACTCTCCTTCACTGCTTGTAGAAATGTCGACTGGTCCAGCCTTTTGGAAAACAATATGGACGTTTCTCAAAAAAAATATAAATTAAGCTCCCATTTGACTTAGCAATATCACTTCTGGGAATATATCCCGGAGATGCAAAAAAAGGACAGTAGAAATGACATCTGCACTTACATGTTTATTGCAGTACTATTTATAATAGCCAGAATCTGGAAAAAACCTGAGTGCCAGAGAAAGATGACTGGTTAAAGAAACTTTGGTATATCTACACAATGGACTACTATGCAGCTGTTAGAAAAGGTGAAACCATGAAATTTGCATATAAGTGGATCAACATGGAGCATATCGTGCTAAGTGAAATGAGTCAGAAAAAGCGGGACAGACACAGAAAATCTGCACCCGTCTGTGTAATATAAAGTACCATAATAGGAGAATAATACTGAAAGATAGTAGAGATAAGGGCCAGGAGGACTGCCCCACAGCTTGCAAGCCAATCTCATGTGCTGGGGGAAAAGGCAGATGGGATGGAGAAGAGACCACTAAGTAAATGATAATTGGAGGGTTCACTCGTGATGGTAGATGTGTGCCAAAAGTAGACTACTGACCAAATATGATGACTGCTTAGTGCATATATGGCAAACAACAACACTCAAAAGGAGAGAAAGAGGGAATGTGTAAGGGGTGGGAAAAGGTGGTGGTGGGGGTGGTGTGAGGGATGCTGGGAAGACTGATGGAGAATAGGCACTGGTGGAGGGATGGGTACTTGAACATTGTTTGATTAAAACGTAGCACTGCATCACTGTCCTCCCGCTGTTCATTAATTTGCTAGAGAGGGCACCAGTAATGTCTCCATTGTGAGACTTGTTGCTACTGTTTTTTTTTTTGCATATTGAATACGCCATGGGGATCGCAGCAAACTACCAAGAGTATTTTGCCCGCATGGCAGAGATTAAAACGTAATCGCAAAAATTTGTAAGTCTTTAAGAAAAAAAAAAAGCAAGTACAGCAACTGAAGTGGGTGACCACTGGCAAGAAATGCTAGCTAACAAGCACGCAGGCAGATGTGCAACATCATGTGATGACCACCATAATCAAGTGTGCAACCTTTGGTCACTGCAACAAGAATATCAAAGGGAAGGAAAGGGGAAAAAGTAAATATAAAAATAAAGCAATTAAGTAAAAGATTCCTTCTATTGCTTAGATAGATTTAGATATACTACTATCATACTTTAATAGGTGAAGAATGCAATTCATAATTTCGAGAATAATCACTAAACAGAAACACAGTTACCCTTTCCAAACTACTCAGAAAGTATTAAAGCTGTGGGCACAGTGCTGCTTTGGTGCGTGGGTGCTAGAGACAATCCAGGTAATCCCAAATGTGTAAGGCCACCTGGCAAATGCTCAAGGGCTTCTAGAGCTGATTCTGGTGATGATGGGGGGATCATGTGCTGCAGGCAGTCAAACTGGGGCCAGCTGCAGGCAAGGCACAGCACCTTAGTCCGTGATTATTTAGCATTTATTTAGATTTTTCTCGTATTTTAATTATTGGGGTTTATTTGGAGGGGAGGGGTTCATACTAGGTCATGCTCAGGGTTTACTTCTGGCGCACGTGCTAACTCCTGGATGTATGCACGGGACCCTATTTGGTGCCAGGGATTGAACTATAGTCAGTCATGAGCAAGTATTATTTTTGTGGCCCTTGTCCAAATTTTTTTTTTTTCCTTTTTGGGTTATACCCGGCGATGCACAGGGGTTACTCCTGGCTCTGTACTCAGGAATTACCTCCAGCGGTGCTCAAGGGACCATATGGGATGCTGGGAATCGAACCCGGGTCAGCCGTGTGCAAGGCAAAACTCCCTACCCGCTGTGCTATTGCTCCAGCCCGCCTTGTTCAAGTTTTTAAAGAACATGTTTATAGTTAAAGAAATTCAAGCAAAGCATCTGGGTTAGTGAACATGTTAGGATCTGAAAGGAATGACATGACTGGAAGGGCATGGAAACCCAACATCTCTTTCACATACCTCATTCTGTGAATCTCTTCTATCTAGCTACTTACTGACTTGAAGATGTATTCCTTTAAACCTTTTCTAATTTCTGATTGAGACAGAACAAAATTCATCATTATGGTAAATTCTATTTGATCTGTATGTCTGAATCATACACACCCTCTGGCACCTACAAGACCATGCTTTTCTTCCACGAAAGAGGACACGTACATTTGACATTTCAAATACCATTAAAAATAAAATCAAATTTGCAAGTAGAGAGATAATACAATGGGTAGGGCATTTGCCCTGCATGCATTCAACCTGGGTTCTATCTCTACCACAAATGATCCCCCAAACCTTGCCAAGGGTGATTTCTGAGATAACATCCAGAAGTAAGCCCTGAACAGTCAAGCATGGCCCCTCAAACAAAAATAATAACAAAATTTATTAGGGCATCATGACTTACAGTAGTAATAAAAATACCTTAATTACCAGAGTATTAATATCCTCCCACCATTGACGATGGGTGCCTTTACAACATCATCCCTCCACTGAGACATCTCAGTTCTAGTCAGTTTTTTAGGGTTTTTTTCCTTGTCCACTACCTATTCCCTTGCTTTGTTTCTTTATACTCAACATATGAGTATTAACATCCTGTATTTGTCATTTTCTTACTCACTGCTTAGCTAGATAGATACCTTCCAGCTCCATCCAAATTATACCAAAACTGCAGATTTTTATCATATTTTGAAAACTGAGTGTTTTTCCTGTATCTCTGATTATGATGGTATGATTTATACATATATTTATTTATATGATAGGTTCCTTTTATTAATATGGCATAGTTAGCACACTGATATATTTAACTATCTTTGAATTCCTAATCTAAATACCACATGGTTATAATTTATGATTTATTTAATGGATTGAATTTGGTTTACTAAGATTTTGTTGTGATTTTTCACAAATATTTTCCTAAGGGAAACTGGTCTATAATTTTCTTTTTCAGTGCTATCTTTGTTTTTAGTATGAGGTCATCTTGGCCTCAGAGAAATTATTAGGGAAAAAAAGAGAGAGAGAAAAACTGTTGGTAAGAAGTCTATTTCTTCAACTTTCTGAAAATCTGAAAAGCTTAAGAAGGACTGGGGGACCAGAGTATTATAGTACAGTTTGCAGGGCACTTGTCTTGTAAGCAGGTGACCCAGATTAGAACCCTGGCGTCCCATATGGTCCCCCAAGCACTGCCAGGAGTAATTCCTAAGTGCAGAATCAGGAGTAACCCTCAAGCATTGCCAGGTGTAACCCAAAAATGTTCAGGAAAAAGAAAAAGAACAACTGATACCAGATTTGTTAGTTTGAAATCTCTAGTGAACTCTGGTTGGATCTTTTGTTTTGGAGGAATTCTTTTTTTTTTTTTTTAAATATGTAGTTTTGATTTCTGTGCTAGCAATCGGTGTGCTCAGGCTCTGGCCCCAAGGACAGTCAAATTTTGGTCATGCATTTCTTTCATTGATTAGTGGGAAAAAAATTCCATTGGAATAATGTGGGTTGTAGCACAGGTGAAAAAAAGGCAGAATATATTTTGCGGGTCATCTTTGAGAAATAAGGAAGGCAGAGAAAACAGCTCTATATGTTTATGACCTTGTTAATTCTATGTCACTGGAATGTGTTTCCTTCAATATTCACTTTGAATCATGTTCTATATCTGAAAACCTGACAGGTAATTTATCTCCACTGTTCATATAACTAGAACACCCCACTATCCTACTGGATAACTTTGCTATTTTATTTGTGCTGAATCTATAGATAATTGCCTAGATTCTGCAAGACTTCCTGTTTTTTTATTAATGACATAGATGGTAACTTATGGTTACTCCCAGGTTCATGCTCGCTCCAAGGTTCTTCCAGTGGTTCTCAGAGGAAACGTGGTACCAGGGAAGGAACTTGGGCCCCCCACATGAAAAATGTGCATCCCAACCTTTCAGTTGTCTCTCCATCCAATAGCCTCCTTTTATTTCTTATTCACAACTGAAAATATTCACTACTGAAAATATTTCAAGTATGCTTTAGTACATTTATAAGGTTGTATGCTTGAGCTTTACAATTCTGTAAGTCATGATTACTTTGTTAAATTTTTAAAATTAGGCTCAGTCTTTTGATAAAAAAATTCAATTACTATCTAAGGTACATACAATACTGTACACAAGAGTATGCTTTGTAAAAGAGCTTAAGGATTAGTTTGGCTCTCCCTTTAAAGCTACTGCCAGAGACACTTCTGCTACCAAGTCTAGTTTAGGTATTTAACTATCTACAAATAGAGAATACAAAAAGATTAAAAAGTACCTTGTAGCTCCTCTTCTAGCTCGACTTCATCTTCACTAGATGAAGCTAAGTAGGCTTGAAAATCCATGTCCAAAAGCTCTTCTTTTTTAAATTTCCGATTGAGTGTTGTAATTCTTTCATGATCAGTCTCATCCCAGGTGATCTCCACCTAGCACCAACGAGTAACAACAAATAGAAACGGAGATGAAACAAAGATGTCATCAACCAAACTTGCTAAAAAATGTTTTCCATTAACCTGGATGTATAATATGGTAAAAACGTTGAGCTATACACAAATAATAAAAGATACTCTAAATAACAAGTACTCAGTTCGTGGAAAGAAAACCATTTCAATTAATCTATACCTTTCTCCTGCTAACTATGTTATGTGTATGGCATTCCATTAGGGGAAATACAATGCCATTAGCAGTAGATTCACAAATGGAAAAGAAAATGCACTACTAAAATAACTACCACTCATTATGAATTACACAAAATGAGCATCTTGCTTGGGAATCTGAGGTAATTCAAGAGGACTAGAAACTATGTAAAATTTATTAATAAAGTTTTCAATATAATCTTAGTGATGTCCATTTCCGAAAACAAACTCAGAAAAATGATTAACCAAAGATTTTTAAAATAGCTGCATTGTCTTTAAAATTTCAGGTAGTCACCAGATTCAGAATGATCTCTATTCTCTGAAGTTTGAACTTATTACTACAAAACATATGAGACCAGAGATATGGCTCAAAGAGCCGAGTGCATGCTTTGTACACAGGGGGTCAGGGTTGATCCCTGGCATCACATGGTTCCCTGAATACTACCAGGAACTACCTCCAAGGACCTCCAAGTCTTGCCCCTAAATTAAAAAAGAACTAGGACAGTGGGATGGATATGGAAAATAAAGGCAATCTGTTCCAGATCTTTTTTTTTCCAGGGGGAGGAGGGTGGTGTCACTTTTTAGTCTTAGAAAAACCATGACACTTTATTTTTGTGACTGAATCTTTTAGACTTCATTTATTGCTTACTTGTGATTTGGGGTACTGTTACTGCCTCCCCCCTACTTTGTATATTATTAATAGCCTAATGGGGCTGGAGCAATAGCACAGCGGTAGGGAGTTTGCCTTGCACGCAGCCAACATGGCCGACCCGAGTTCGATCCTCCGCCCCTCTAGGAGAGCCTGGCAAGCTACCGAGAGTATCTCGCCCACACGGCAGAGCCTGGCAAGCCACCCGTGATGTATTCGATATGCCAAACACAGTAACAACAAAAAATCTCCAATGGAGATGTTACTGGGCCCGCACGAGCAAATCGATGAACAACGGGAGGGTCTTTCCTTTACTTTTTACTTTTAATAACCTAATAATACTTGTTAAAGAATTGAGTTGGAGAATTATATGGAAAAGAGAGGAAAGAAGAAAGAAATATTCACAGGTAATTGACTTAGGCTTAAAGGTTTGAGACAAATCAGAAAGCTGGTTCCAACACAGATGTGGTAGATAAAAATGCAAATACACTCTGTCTCATTTCTATTTGTATTTCTACATTAAAATTTCAAATACTTTCCATTTCTAGAGATGCTGTAAGTAATATACTAAATCTTTTCTTAAAGCAATCGAGTTCAGCTATACATCTTAAAAAGAAATACCGTTGATGTTCCCATTGCAGCAGATGTGAAATATTTTGGTTTATATGCTGTTAAATCCACCTCTGAGGCTATGTCCTTGGGCTCATCATCAAAAGTAATATCATCTGGTATAAACCTAAGCAACAAAGAAAAAAATAAATTTATTTAAACACATGCTTTAGTGATAAACAACCAGGATTTAGATTCTCTTCCAATTAGTTATAGTTTATACACATATACCATATAAAATTTTCTACAAAACACATGTAGATGAGTCAAACAATGTTAGAAATAACCTTGGCACAAAATTTCTGAAATTCATAAGTTATAAATCTTTAATCCCAGTAAATCTGAATAAAATTTGACATACAAAAACCCTGCCTCCAAGAGAAAAATAAAAGAAACTCTGCCTTCGAAGTTAGTTAATATGAGTCAGGTACAGACACACATGGGTCCCTCATGTTTCTGTAAAAAACCTAAATTCCTGACAGCATAGACTTTCTATGTGAATCCTGAAGATCCAATACTGTCAAATGGGCCAGTGCCCTGAAATTAAGGTATAAAATACAAAAGGTTATCATTAAAAATAAGGAAGAGCATAAGGGATGGCTAAGTGGCTAACAACGCCCACCTTGCAACTGTGAGGCTATGGGTCCAATCACTTGTGCTGTGAGTGTGGGTCCCCTGGTGCCAAAGCAGAGTGTGCAATGTCTGGCATAAAGTCAAGTTATGCAAGTACCACAACTATAGTGTATGCATGCCCCACTACCTTGCCAGCAAGATGTGGGAACATCAGGGCCAGGAGTGATGTTGGAGGCACTACAAGAGCCAGAATGTGATCAAGCATCTTAACGTAAATGTGCACCACCACCCCACTGCAAACACAGTGGCAACTTGACACTACCGTTTTAACAATAGTAACAAAAAAAGGCAGCAAGGGGGGAAAACTAAAGCTAAAAAGGAGGAAAAACTTTAAGGTTGAATCTTCCAAGAATAAAAATTAACATAAAAAAAGAGAGGGAACTATATCAGAATTTGCTACTTATAGATGGTTTTCACACAAGCAAAAAATACATGCTATATATCCCACCAAAAGCGATTTTGAGATGGTACAGTGGTTAAGGTGACTGCCTTGCACGCACCTGGCCCCAATTCAATCCTGGAAGCACAAGTTCTGCAAGCATCACTGAGTATAACCCTAGAGGCCTCCAAGCACTGCCAGGATAGATGTGGTAACCCCTGGCACCACTCAGCAAAGCAGCACCACTTTCTCTGATTCCCCTTCACATCAAACTGTCCAAAGCCCCCTGACCATCTCTTAGGAATTTCCCAGTCTCACAACCAAGAAAAGACTTTGAACGATCTTATACTTACCTATACAAACAATCAATGTTCATAATTATATAATTAAAAGGTTCATTATGTAAGCATAATTATAATCTCTACCAACTAGTTCTGTTTACTTAGTAAAAAGAAATATTTGAAAACATTTTTATGTGTTACTAATAATACATAGGCTGGAGTGATAGCACAGCGGGTAGAGTGTTTGCCTTGTATGCAGCCAACCCGGGTTCGATTCCTCTGCTCCTCTCGGAAAGCCTGGCAAGCTACCAAGAGTATCTTTGCCCACATGGCAAAGCCTGGCAAGCTCCCCGTGAGGTATTGGATATGTCAAAACCAGTAACAAGTCTCACAATTTGTTGTGAGATGTTAACTAGTGCCCGCTTGAGTAAATCAATGAACAACGGGAGGACAGTGCTACAGTGCTATTAATATACATGCTTTTATATTTTGGGCATAACAGAAGGGTTCCCTAGATAACTGGATATCAGCAGAAAATTCAATTATGTTGATATATAAATAATTAAAAAAGGGGAATACAAACATCTTATTTTCTAGAGTTACCATAACTTATTTCAATACTACATGAAAACAACCTCAAAAGAAAGAAAAAACACTTCTGTAATGAATGTTAAGATGAATTTATGTAACTCAAAGACAATCTATCTAATAAATATTTCTTAACTACTTTTTAAACATTCAGGATGAGTACCTCCTATTTTAAATTATTAACAGAAAAGAGAATGCCTTATCTGTTAAATCTTACCCCAACTTATCAGTTCAGTTTTCCCCTAAAATTTAGAATACCTCTGAAGAAGGAAAGTTAAAATAATTAGGATTTCCTGAAATATTTGTTTGACAGTATAGAATCTAACAAACTTCAATTTAAAAAAGTAATTTCTGGAAAGTCACATTGTCCTCTCCAGGAAGAGAGCATAACCATGCTGGGCCCCACACCAAGGCCCTCCTACACTGCTTGTGGAATGCAGACTGGTTCAGCCTTTCTGGAAAATCGTATGGACACTTCTCAAAAAATTAGAAATTGAGGCTCCCATTTGAGCCAGCAATACCAATCCTGGGAATATATCCCAGAGATGCGAAAGAGTATAGTCGAAATGACATCTGCACTTGTTTGTTCATTGCAGCACTTTTTACAATAAACAGAATCTGGAAAAAACCTGAGTGCCCGAGAACAGATGACTGGTTAAAGAAACATTGGTACATCTACACAATGGACTACTATGCAGCTGTTAGAAAAGATGAAGTCATGAAATTTACATACAAGTGGTTCTACATGGAAAGTATCAAGCGAAGTGAAATGAGCCAGAAAGAGAGGGACAGACATAGACAGAATGCATTCATCTGTGAAATATAAAGTAACAAAATAGGAGACTAACAGCCAACAATAGCTGAAATAAGTACCAGGAGGTTTGCTCCATGGCTTGGAGGCCAGTCACACATGCTGGGGGGAATAGGCAGCTCAGATAGAGAAGGCAACACCAAGTAAAGGGTATTGGGAGGATCCGCTTAGGATGGGAGATACATGCCGAAAGTAGACTGTAGACACAACATGATTGCCACTCAATAACTCTATTACAAACCACAACACCCAAAAGGAGAGAGAGAACAAAAGGGAATGCCCTGCCACAGAGGCAAGGAGGGGGTTAGGGATGGGTGGGAGGGATATTGGGTTCATTTGTGGTGGAGAATGGGCACTGATGGAGGGATGGGTACTCGATCACTGTTAACTGAAACCCACGCACAAAAATTTGCAAGTCTACTACTGCACCTCACAGTGTTTCACTATTAAAAATTAAAAAAAAAAAAGTGAGAGCCCTCTCCACCTCAAGGGACCGGGTCCCGTAGCCGAAAACCTCTAATACTCATCCGCAGCCATGCTCACAGCCCTACTCTCTATAAGCTTGGGCTAAACCTCATCCAGAAGTGAATGTATTTCTGGACCACGTGGCTGCATTTGTGGCCACACAAGTCATACCTCACACCACCCATACTCCCAGCATACCGCATCACATTTGATGGGGTTTATAGTAGGAGACAACCAATCTTAGAGGAAAATATTTTTCAACAACATGTTAGTGATCTCTTATAGAAGGGCTTAATGGCCCCTATGTAAAATACAACAATCTTCACACTTTCCTTTTTTGTAGCATTTTCAGCAGTTTCTCATAACAAACAATACAAAATAAATTTCAGCTCTGTTTTGGGGCAGGGGTAGGGTTCAAGATGGAAACATCTGAAATACGAAGGTAAGAAGGTGTAATGGTGGTGTAACTAGTGTTAGAATGTTGAATGTAACCAAGTACTGTGAACTACTTTATCACTGTATCACTGTCAACCCGTTGCTCATTGATTTACTCGAGTGGGTGCCAGTAATGTCTCCATTCGACCCTGTCATGTGCTAGTGTAGCCCGATGGCATATTGGGGGCTCTTTCAGGGTCAGGGGAAAGAGGACCATTATTGTTACTGTTTTTGGCATATCGAGTACGCCACAGGTAAACTTGCCAGAACTACTTTATAAAAAAAAAAAGTGATTTCTGGAACTGAGAGATAGTACGCCAGGTACCCCCTGAATGTGATCTTGGAGACACTCAAGTGTCCCCAGGATGGCTTGGTAATTTCAGCATGACAGGGTATGAGCCATAGGGCATCATTGGGCCCTTGCATTGAGCTAGGTTAAAAACTGGTCAAACAGACCAAGAATTATTAGAGACGGCCCCATCAAAGAAAAACAAAAGTAATTTTTATGAAACATTTCCCAGTAGAATAGTTTACTAGATTCAAAAGGAATAGGGTAATTGACAAACTAGTTCAGCTGGTTAGATTCCCATTTCCATAAAGATGGTGATATTCACCATGGCTTGATATTCACAATGATCTAAAGTTTTCAAGTTTGGGGACAATGAAGCCTGAGTATATGATAATAATATTGTCCAAGTTTGAAGACAATGCGAGAAACAATATTCATTTACTATGCAGCATATTGAGCAGCACTGTCCAGTAGAATGGCCTACGATTACTACAATGTTCTGTATCTACTTCAAAATCCACTGTCCTCCCATTGTTCATCGATTTGCTCGAGCGGGTACCAGTAATGTTTCACAACAAATTGTAAGACTTGTTACTGTTTTTAGCATATCGAATACATCAAGGGTAGTTTGCCAGGCTTTGCCTTGTGGGCGAGATACTCTCGGTAGCTTGTTGGGCTCTCCAAGAGGGGTGGAGGAATCGAACCTGGGTCAGCCGTGTGCAAAGCAAATGCCCTATCAGCTGTGCTATCGCTCCAGCCCCTGCTTCAAAATATGGTTATAAAATATTTTAGTGTGATTAAGGAAATAAAATAATTTTTTTTGCAGTGCTGGGGATGGATCCCAAGGTTTCACAAGTGAACCGTGCACTCTAACACTCAGATACATACCAGATCAGGAATGTTAATTTTTTTTAATTAAGTAAAACTGTTTGGATTTTTTTTTTTTTTTTTTTTTTTGCTTTTTGGGTCACACCCGGCGATGCACAGGGGTTACTCCTGGCTCTGCACTCAGGAATTACTCCTGGCGGCGCTCAGGGAACCATATGGGATGCTGGGAATCGAACTCAGGTGGGCCGCGTGCATGGCAAAGCCCTATCCGCTGTTCTATTGCTCCAGCCCCAAAACTGTTATGTTTTTAGGGCAACACTCGATAGTGCTCAGGGCTTACTTCTGGCTTTCTGATTCCAGGAACCATATGCAGTGCTGGGCATCAATTAAACCTGTGCTGCAGCATGTAAGGCAAGGTCTTTGTATCTTTGCCTCTCCTAGTTTTCTTAAGACAAAGTTCATCCCAAAGCAATTAAAAAAAAATCCTCATACAGGGAGAACTACCAGTTCTAGTACGTTTCTACCTATAATCACACTGCTATGAGATTAAATTGGTAAGACACACACTGGATTACCTTAAGTCTATGAATGAACAGCTACTTTCAAATTCCAGGCCGTCACAATCCTCATAAATTTTACTAGCTGTTTCAGGAGAATCACAGTCCACCACTGCATAATAATACTTCAGTCGTTTGAATTGATAATCTCTCAATTTTTCTCTCGAGGTCCTGGAGGGGGGGAATGGAAATTAAGCTTAGTCATAGAGTAACATAAATACTACCTCCCTTCAAAAAAAGAAAGTATTTTTTCAAGAAAAATACATTAACAGGTAGCCTTCATTCCAACCTACCTTTTCTTCATGACTTTCAACTTATTTCATTTTGATAAGAAAAGGCTTTCAAGTATCTTAAAGGATATTAGGATATTTAGGTATTTAAAAGGATAAAGGATATTAGGTATTAGAAAGAGAACAAGAATTACATATACTAAGTTATAACCTTAACTTATAATTACCTTGCTTGTTTTGTTTTTAGATAAAGGCTTTTCAAGTTAAGAATACTTGACTGGATCACTGTATTATAAAATGAGCTAAGAAAAGCATAACTCTTATTTGAAAAATAATTCGTCTCATTCCAAATACATATATTATGCAAACTAAATAGATTTTAGTTTAATCTCACTTAACTACATTATTTTCTTGGAGGGTCTTCATCTTTTCTTTTCTGCCTTTAATTTAACCATTTTAATTACGTGCACATATAGCTCCATCTAGTGGGCTTAAAACCGCCTTCCATTTTTTTCCTATACTACCTTAAGATGATGGGGCTGGAGAGATAGCACAGCGGGTAGGGCATTTGCCTTTCCTGACCCGGCTGACCTGGGTTCGATTCCTCCGCCCCTCTTGGTAAGCCCGGCAAGCTACCGAGAGCATCTCGCCCGGACGGCAAAGCCTGCCAAGTTACCTGTGACGTATTTGATATGCCAAAAACAATAACAAGTCTCACAATTGAGACGTTAGTGGTGCCCACTCGAGCAAATCGATGAACAACTGGAGTACAGTGACAGTGCTACAGTGCTACCTTAAGATGATAGATGTTTTTCAGTTTTTAATGCAACTGAGAAATCGGTTTAATATTAAGATTTCTTTAATGGCATTAATTATTTTTATGCACTTATATAATACAAAATGCTTGTATGAAAATGGTGTATCAAGCTAACAAGATTATCTTCTTCCTTGCAAACTGTTTTCACCATTGTATAAGTGCAAATACTAGCACTATTAAAGTGAATAGAATAGAATAGAATTCTAATTCTAATTAGTTATATTTTCCAAAGTGACTTAATACCAGTCTTTTTCAGAAGCATCTTCAGGTATACTTAATAACTCCACTGGTCCTTGAACTTGTTCTTCCTTCATCCTCTCCTTTCCAAACTCTGAGGGATAAATCTAGATAGAAAATGAGATCAGTATAATTTTTACATTTTTTTCTTATAATATCCAGACCAATCAAGACATCTACAACAGAATGACTCACTTTCAAACCCGTGATAAATGGCTAAATTATCATGAGGAACTATCTTTAGAATAGGAATTAGAGGAGACTACAGTGATAGCACAGAAGGTAGGGAGGGCACTTGCCTTCATGTGGAGTACCTCAGTTCAATCCGCGACACCCCATCCCTGAGCACAGAGCCAGGAATAAGCCCTGAGAAATGCTGGGTGTGACCACCCCCCTGCCCCCTCCCAAATAAAAAAACAAAGACCAAGTCATTAGGACTGGAGAGTAATAAGTGGGAGCATAAAAACAAAAATAGATTATATAATCCACATATCAACTGGGACAAGATCACTATGGGATCCAAAAGAAATTCAGAAAAGCAAAACAGATCCTAATTTCAAGGGAGTTAATGTGAACATAAACATGAAAAATTAAGGCATCAAAAGGTCCAATAATTTGTCTAGCATATTTTTTTAGCATATTTTTTGAGAAATTCTTTACAAATAAAAAATTGATGGCAGTTTTATCATGTAGATTTTACAAAGCTTTGGCATGCAAGGAAAATTATTTACCCTCATCATTTGGTATTTTTAAATCTTGGTTGCTTTTGAGAGTCCAGAAATTTAAATGTACTAATTTTCATTGTTTTTATACTTATTGGGCTTATTTTTTTGTCAATGCTTTTTGGGGTTATCTTTTAAATGCAATTCAACTACTAAGGGACTTGAATTTTCCTAGTTTGAGTTGTATATTACAGATTTTAACGTGAATTCTTAAAACATGTGTGGCTACACCTTTTAATTCTTTGTGTGCTTTTTCTCTTTCTGTCTAAAAATTTCTTACTAGTCATTTCCTGAAACACAGACCAACAAACATAATCTTATTTCTGTTTGTTTCAGGGATTTCATTTACAACTTTTTCTTTTATTGCAGTTACTTTGGCCTATCACGAGGTGAAGGGCTAGGTTTTATATACAGCATTGTGCCCATTTGTCCTAATACCCGGATTTAAGAAGTTTACTTTTATCTATATTACATAAACTCTTCTTATTCTACTTCATCAATTTGGTCTCATTCTTACTCAGAACTGTCATGTCTCACAGTGGTATAAAAATGTATAGACAGCCCAGAGGAGTAGCAGTGGCTTAGCATAGCAGCCTTGAAAGTGTCAAATCTCCAGTGTTGTTGCCGCATGTGTCAATCACGATCCTACCAGCTGTCCTGTTTGAGCCTGGCAGGTCTGCTCTCTGCAATCTCTGATGCCACAATTTCTGCCACACCACAAAGGGGCATGAGTCCCTGTTACAAGTGCAGCCAAAAAAGGCGTACAAGTGCAATGGTCTGAATGTGCAGCCCCTAGTTAGTAAAACATGAGCTCCAATGAGCATATCAACTGTAACTTGCCTGTCCCAAAAAAAGGTCTGATTTTCAGCAAGCCTTGTGCAAGTTCCACAACTGTAAGTGAAAATTTTGGAGCTCGTGGTTGCTGAGTGTGTAAGCACCACACCTGATGTGTGGTTTCTACAAGCACCAGTTAGAAATGTGGGAGCACCACAGCCAGTATATGTGACCACTAGTCATCTAAAACACCTTTTTAAATAGTTAAAAAAGTTTAGAAACTTTCATTGGTAGGGTCAATCCTTTTATACTGGTATGATTTCTTAAACGTTTCTTGAACTGTTTTCAGGGTTTTATTCTTGGTTCTGGGCTTGGGTACCACTTGTGGCATTGCTTGGGGGATTCTATGGGGTGCCAGGAATCAAATCTAGGTCAGCTGTGTGCAAGGCAAGTGCCTTACTCACTGTACTCTGTCTGGCCCTAGGTATTTTTTTCCTACTATAAAGTTTATTAAGATGTTTTATTGGCCGTCTCCCAAAGGCACCATGGCCACCCTCAGACCCCTTATGAAACCCAAGATCGTTTCACTTATTTATTCTTTCAGGTGGTTACTGATATCTCTGAACTAAAATTTTTATTTAAAAAATTAGAACTAAAAAATTAAAATTAAAACTAGAGTCAAAATATTTAGAAATGGAGAGGTTGGGGTACACCTGTCAGTGTTCAGGACTTATTCCTAGCTCTACATTCAGGGATCATTCCTGTTGGTGCTGGGGGAAACATATGGGATGCTAGGGAGTCAAACATGATGGGCCATGTGCATGGCAAGCGTCCTACCTGCTGTGCTATCACGCTGGTCTAAAATATTAAAAGATTTTAAAATAATTTAGAGTATTATATGAAATGCTAAGCCTACGTTGTTTTTCATTTATTTATTTATTTATTTTGCTTTTTGGGTCACACCCGGCAATGCACAGGGGTTACTCCTGGCTCTGTGCTCAGAAATTACCCCTAGCGGTGTTCAGGGGACCATATGGGATGCTGGGAATCGAACCCGGGTCAGCCGCGTGCAAGGCAAACACCCTACCCACTGTGCTATTGCTCCAGCCCCACGCTGTTTTTCATTTAAACAACCACGCTACGAAGTACTATTGTTACGTCCCCTTCTCATGTGAGAAAATATATTGGAGAGAGTCAAATTATAGTGTCCAAGGTCACATAGTTTGTACTAGAATCAAATTTTTGACACTGCTCTGTCATACTGCAAAGTCTAGGTTCTTACTCTCCTAAATCTCTAGAAATAGAATATGTAAAAATTTGTTAAGTTTTTCAAATGTTATTTCATTTAAGATATGCTTGCTTAAGGTTAAAACGACAAATTTTTAAGTTTGAACTACATACAAGAACAGAACTTATTAATGATGGTAACGAATAATTAAAAAAAATTTATCTTATATCCTGTCAGATTACTAAGATTATATAACAACAGCTTTGTATTTTAATTTCAAAAATACATTCATATATCCTATCAGTAACAGTAACTTTTACTTTTATGTGTGTTTTATTCATTTCATTACAAACTGTACCGAACAATTTCCAGGCTATTTTTCTTAAAACTATGATTTAGGTGAAAAAAAGGGATTTAACTTAAAATGTTCATTAATTTCAAAATGAAATAAATTCTCACCTTTACAGAAAATATGACTCCACCTTTAGGCTTAAATGAATTGAACAGAGCAAGCAAGTCTTTGGCCTTTAATCTATCCCAGTCCATGTTGCAAACTGCTAACCGACGTGTAATCTAAGAAATGAGAAGAATTAAATAACATATATAGTCCCTTCAAAATAAAGATACTAAAAGTGCAGTATTTTCTTTCTGCCAAATTCTGAGATCAATATAAAATTTATTTAAGTGGTTTTAACACACAAAAGAGAACTTCAATGACTCAAATAATAGTAAAACTGACAATAGGTAGTAGCAATTGTTTCTTAGTTCCTCATATTTTGGGGGAATTAAAGGTACCAGGTCACATGCAGCTGTTTTCAGGGGTTTATTCTTGGTTCTGGGCTTGGGTACCACTTGTGGCATTGCTTGGGGGATTCTATGGGGTGCCAGGAATCAAATCTAGGTCAGCTGTGTGCAAGGCAAGTGCCTTACTCACTGTACTCTGTCTGGCCCTAGGTATTTTTTTCCTACTATAAAGTTCATTAAGATGTTTTATTGGCCGTCTCCCGAAGGCACCATGGCCACCCTCAGACCCCTTATGAAACCCAAGATCGTTAAAAAGAGGACCAAGAAATCCATCAGACAACAGCCTGACCGCTATGTCAAGATTAAGCAGAACAGGCGCAAGCCCAGAGGCATTGACAACAGGATGCGCTGCAGATTCAAGAGCCAGATCCTGATGCCCAACATTGGTTGTAGGAGCAACAAGAAGACGAAGCACATGCTGCCCAGTGGCTTCTTCCTGCTCCACAAAGTCAAGGAACTTGAGGTGCTGCTGATGTGCAACAAATCTTACTGTGCTGAGATTACTCACAATGTATCTTCCAAGAATTGCAAAGCAATTGTGGAAAGAGTGGCCCTGCTGGCCATGAGAGTCGCCAACCCCAATGCCAGGCTGTGCAGCAAAGAGAACTATTAGGCAGGCGTTGGGCACCTCGCATTGTGTTAATAAAGTGTGTAAAAGAAAAAAAAAGATGTTTTATTATCCATGCATGAGTAGAAAAATTGAGTGTTATCTGGTAGCATTTCTAACATGTGTGCAGTGGGAAGAGAAAAATCCACCAGCTAAAATAAGTACTCTTTAAACATTCCAAGACTGAAATACTAAGAATTTGTCTCAGAATTTTCTGCCTTGGCAGACATCTGATTTATATAGCCCATATTAGTATCAGTATGATCTAATCAGAATCAAGATTGAGCTATTTACCAATAAGAATTTTCCCATTTAGGAATAACAGTTCTAATTATAAAACAAAATCTATTAAAATAAAATCACCTCATCTGCCCGAGGAGCATCTTTATCTAATTCTCTCCAAGCATGCTCAAAAGCCGATTCCCCTGGAAGCAAATCTTCTAGATCATCTTCATCTTCTGAACTAGTTTCTATATTTCCTTTACCCCTTGCAAGATCAGGACCACTCTCACTTTCATCATCATCCTCACTATCATTGTCTTCATCTTCTTCATCATTAACTTCATCATCAGTTGACCTTCCATCACTGCTCATAACTTCATGTTCAGATTTTTCATCACCGTCTATTTCACTAGCACTTTCTGAATCTTCCTCCAGGTCATCTTTGTCAAACATTTCACCATCCACCAAGTCTTCAGAACTACTACCGTCTCTCGCCGTTTTGAGTGAAACTATTGAAAAGGATTAAAAAGAGGGAGAAATTAAGAAAATATAAATGCTGAATTAAATATCTTAGTTATTTTGATCTGAAACCAAGCAAACAAATCTTTCAAAAGGTAGTAATCACAACTAGCCGTTGCCTAATCTGAACATACATTTTTAATTACAGCATTAATGATCAGCACTGCAACACCCAACACTTCCTGTGAGCCAGGACACAAAATTTTAATGAACTTAATAAGTAAACTGGGCCCGCTCGAGCAAATCGATGAACAACGGGAGGGCCTAAAAAAAAAATAAGTAAACATGAATTTAAACAAATGCTTTTTACTTGGTCTGGAGCGACAGCACCATGGTAAGACGTTTGTCTTGCAACCGGCCGGCCCGGCTGAGCTGGGTTCGATTCCTCTGCCCCTCTGGGAGAGTCCGGCAAGCTACCGAGAATATCTCGCCCACACAGCAAAGCCTGGCAAGCTACCCATGACATATTCGATATGCCAAACACAGTAACAAGTCTCACAATGGAGACGTTACTGGGCCTGCTCGAGCAAAAAATCGATGAACAACGGGAGGACAGTGCTTCAGTGTTTTTTACTTAAGTTCCAAGCAAACACTCATACTTATATCACCCACCCACATCCTCAGAAACTTTGATCCTTACTACTTATTTTGTATTATGGCTCTGACTAATGTCTTCCATTTCAGTTCTGGCTGGAGCGATAGCACAGCGGTAGGGCGTTCGCCTTACACGCGGCCAACATGGCCGACCCGAGTTCGATTCCTCCGCCCCTCTCGGAGAGCCCGGCAAGCTACCGAGAGTATTGGATATGCCAGACACAGTAACAACAAAGTCTCTAATGGAGACGTTACTGGGCCCGCTCGAGCAAATCGACGATCAACGGGAGGGCCTTTACCTCTACCTTTACTGTACAGAACAGTAGCCAGTAGTCCTATGAGACAACTGGAAAAAAAGTTTTTTTTTTTTTAAATTAACTGAGGTTAGTGTGAAAACATGTTAAATATTTCATGTTTTGATTACATACTGAAATAGTTTACTTTTATCTGGTTAAATAAAATATATTAACAAAACTGATTACACATTTCATTTTACTTTGTAATGTGTGAACTGAAATAAAAAATAAGTCATTCTATTGAACAATACTGTTTCGGACCAGAGCCATTGCAGTTAACAAGCTGTTATTTGCGAAAAAGAATCTGCAAAGGAGCAGAAAGGGCTGACAACAAGGTTAAACTCTTTTCACTAAGGTTGAAGACATAATGCAGAGGTTTAGTTACTAGTTTTTCACAGGGCTGACTCTTAGCACTGTATATGTTCCCCTGAGCATCACCTAGAAAGATCTCTGAGCAAAGAACCAGGAGTAAGCTAGGAGTAATCCTTGAGCACAACCAGGTACATCCCCACCTCAAAACAAAAACAATACGGGGCTGGAGCAATAGCTCAGCGGGTAAGATGTTTGCCTTGCACGCAGCCGACCCAGGTTCAATTCCCAGCATTCCATACGGTCCCCTAAGCACAACCGGGGGTAATTCCTGAGTGCAGAGCCAGAAGTAATCGCTGTGCAGTGCCGGAGTGACACAAAAAGCAAAAAACAAAAACAGAAAACCAACAAAACATTTAAAACTACTTTCTCCAAACAGAATCCTGTGTCTGTTCATCTGCTGTTTCGCTCAAAAAAGCTGATCCCTGAACAAACTGGGAACTCTGTGTTTTTCTAATTTGCACAGATATAATATGAGCAAAAAGCAAAAAACAAAATATTTTTATTGTGAGAAAGCCCTGTACTCGCAGATGAAAACAATTTTTTATTATTATTATTATTATTATTATTATTATTAAATAGCCCTATTAAATGTAAGCCCTTGTCCAGGGTGAGGAGCTCCAGATTCCAGTGTACTTTAGCAGACTATTTTGCATCCCTTGGACCGGCATTGAACAATGCTATTTCGGAATAAATAGCAGTACTCCTGCATTTTTTTTTTTTAATAAAAAAGCTATTTCAGACTGGGGTGATAGTACAGCCAGCAGGGCACTTGCCTTACACATGACCAGCCAGGTTTGATCCCCAGCAGCCCATATGGTCCCCCAACACTGCCAGGAGTAATTCCTGAGTGCAGAACCGGGAGTAACACCTGGGTATAGCCAGGTGCCCCCCCCCCCCATAAGAATTTCACAAAACATCATAAAATGCGACCTATTATTGTCTAGTTTTCGCTCTCAAAGAATCCGGTAGGCTACCAAGAATATCCTGCCCGCACAGCAGACTCTGGCAAGCTGCCCATGGTGTACTCAATACACCAAAACCCAGTAACAAAGATGGGTCTCATTCCCCTGACCCTGAAGAGTCTCCAATGTGGCACTTGCTAAAATTTCAGGGCTAGGACGAATGGAGACTTACTAGTGCCTGCTTGAGTAAATCAATGAACAATGGGATGACAGTGATACAGTGATAATATAAGCCAGCAAATGGCTTGACGTAGGAGACTACATCTAATCACATTCTAGCTGCAACATACAAGTTACTGCAAGTAGTTGAGAGATAGATAAATACCCATCTCTTCATATACTGTGATGAATATATATACGTGTATATATATATATATATATATAAAGACTTTTACCTGGCTAAGCCTTATAACCACCACAAATCAAAATCATTGTTTAGTCTCGACTTAAATTTTTGTCTTTCTAGTCATTATAACAGATTTTTTTTAATGCCAAAGCTTTATGCTTCAAAATAAGCATGTATTATGCCCATTATACTAAGAATAATGTATTTATGATATACTTTTTAAAAGAATCAGCATAAAAAAAACCCATAAAACAAAAAACCCCAATTCTCTCCAACCCACCTGAACACATTTTTCTTCTCATCTCAGAATACTTGACATTGGGAAATTTTACAATTTCAGAGTCTGCTGTCTTTAATTTTCCTTTGGGACCCAAGTCTGCAGTCTGTTGTACTTTTTTTTTTCCTTTTGTACTTGTTTGCGTAAATTCTTCACTATTTTTCTTGGGACTTATTTTTGAACCCACCTTCTGAGATTTGCAAGAGTTCTTAATTTTCTGAACCATGTCAGAGACATCTAGATCACTTTTATTTTCAAAATCCTTTTGACTTGTTTTCTTAGTTTCTTTCTTTTTATCAACAGGATTCTTTGGTTCTATTTTGTTTTTAGTCTGAGGTTTTTTCTTCTTCAATTTCTTTTGGTTCAATTCTTTCTTATCTTCATCTGATAAATCAGAATCAGAATCTGAAAGTTCATAAAAACGTTTCAAGTCCTCTGTGGTGCTGTGGTTGATAGGTCGGCCTCGTTTATCAACAGCATAATTCAACTTGAACTTTTTGTCATGAAACATTGCCCGAAATCTCTTGTCAATTTTAATTTTTCGATCCTTTTCTGGCATTTCCCAAAATCTTGGGTCCTTTGTCACTCGCTTAAACCGCTGGTCACTCATTATTTCTTGCTTGGATGCCATTTTGAAGTGTGACTGGACAGGTGCAAAAAAGAAACCAAATACTGAAATACAAAAAACTAAAAGTTAGAATAATGTAAGGTTAGTAATATAACTATATTCACGGTCACAGTCCTCCCGTTGTTCATCGATTTGCTCGAGCGGGCCCAGTAACGTCTTTATCATGAGACTTGTTGTTACTGTATTTGGCACCCGTGATGTATTCGATAACTATATTATTTAAATTACATATAAATATATAATTTATATATGCTATATAAATTATATAAATATATATAGTTAGTAATATAACTATATTATATATTATAAAGCGCCTTAGGAGAAAAAACTGACAATTTATTTAAAGTTAAATACAAGGGTAACAAGCCCAGTATTATTTCCTAAATCAGTGAGTTCACATGCGGAAAAGTAAAACTATCAGAATAGCCTCATTCAAGTAAAGAAGTTGAACAAAGATATTTAAGGCAAAACAATATCGAACATTCCAGGGCTTAGGAGAGGGGGCAAACGCTTACTAGCACTCTCATAATTCTCATATTTCTGTTTGGATAACTTTCTGTTTCACAAGTTAAATGTACTTAAAAAAAATCTCCAAAGTTTAGACAGTTTCAATTCTTAAGAGTTCTGGAACCATTCCGTTAATTCACATCTCAAGCTACTCTGAAAGCCCGTTCCTAGTATAAGAGGAGAGTCTCCTAACGAAACAGACAAAAATAAATCTCGGCTTTAGTTCGCACCAAGTTCTCTCGAAAGCTGCTGCGTTTTTGTTGTTGCTGTTCTGGGGCCACACCCGGCCGTGCTCAGGACTTACTCCCGGCAGGGTTCTGGGGACCATATGGGATGCCGAGGAAGGAAGTCGGGTCGGCCACAGGCAGGGCGCTCCCCGCTGTACTCTCTCCCCGGTCCTTAAAGCATCTTCATCCTTCTCAAAGCCAGGTCTTGCTCCACTCAGGAATCACGGCAGCAAGAACCCACCCCGGTCCGATCCGGGTGCTGTTTGAAAAGCAAGATGCACTTCCCCCCTCCTCTTAAACGAGAAGACAACTTTTCATTCATCAGAAAAAGGTGTAGGTTCCCAGGGTCTACTTGAGACGCTTCAGGATCAGCCGTCTCGGAAGCGTGACCCCCTCGCCCGACCCCTCGAGGCGACGTCTCCACTTCGTTTAGGCGCCTCAGCGTGCGAGCCCGGCGGCCAGCAGCCTCCCCTCACACTCGGGTGGAGCGAGCGTGGCGCCGGAACTGGGATTTCACCCTGTCCCCCAACCCCCAGCGGACAGTTACGGAGCTGCGGCTCCTCGACAGGAACTCTCAAAAGGATCGGGCAAACCTGAAGCGTGAACTGGGGAAAATAAAGAAAAACGCGCACCCTTCACAAGCTCCCAGGCAGACTCGTACCCAGTCTCCGGCTCTCACGTGGGTCCGGCACCCACAATCCCTCGCGAGACTTCCGGCGTCACGGCGCGCGAGCTGGGACAAACTTCCTCGCCTTTTCCCCTCCGCGAAGTTCCGCTGGCTTGCGGAAGCGGCGTCTGCGCGTGCGCAGTCCGGGCAGCTGGGGCTGGTGGCGTCGTCCCCGGTGAAATGCAGCGCTCCGCGGTGCTCGAGCTCCTGAGGCGCTGGCCGCTGACTGCTGGGGTCCGCGGCAGGACCCTCGGTCTCAGGGAGTTCGCCTCCGGCCCGGGGGGCACGTCGCCCAGAGCCCTCAATATCTTTGACCGGGACTTGAAGAGGAAACAGAAGAACTGGGCTGCTCGGCAGCCCGACGTGATGAAATTCGAGTACCTGAAGGAGGAGGTGAGCCCGCGGGGGTCGGGGCCTGAGGGGGTCCCGCGGAGCTGCGGACCCGCGGGCTCCCGCGCAGCCCGGGTCGCGCGCCCTCGGCCGGCCGCGGGTGACCTTGAGCAGCCGTCCTCCTCCCGGGCCGCCTGAACTGAACGGTAACCCGGGGAGAACCGAACCGGAGCGCGTGCGTGCGGCTCGGGTTCATCGGTCCTGCCCCTCATTCATTCACTCTGCAGGTAGATCTGCTCGGGAGTTGCCAGGTCCGAGCAGAACCGCGTGCGGGGAGAGGGAGAGGGAGGGTCAGGTGAAGTGGGGGGTGGCAGCGATGATCCCCGGCATCTCTCACGGCCCCCTTAGTCCCGCCGGGAGTGATCCCTGGGCACAGAGCCAGGAGTCAGCCCTGAACACCGCTCGCTGCGGTACAAACAAACAAACAAACAAACAAACAAAAAAACCCAAAGTAAATGAATAAATTAAACCAATCCAGTGCTATAAGTACTTTCAATCCATTGCCATAAGTACCTTTTGAGATCCTACGTTAGGTTGAACTTTGCAAGCCCTGGCAGCGGGAGGCAGGTGGGTGAATTCTTCCCGGTCTGAAGGCATGAACTTCGAAGCTGTGAGTTTGTACTTGAAAAGGTTTCTTTCTAGCCTCTCCTCAAAAAGCGCATTGATTGTATTGATTGCCACTTGCCTGGTGCCTTGCCAGTGTGCAGGACTAGAGTATACGAGAGGAAAACATTCTTTTTATAAAAAAAAAAAAAATGTGTTCCTACTAGGAGTGGGTCCCTGGGAATAGTTTATTCTGCCCCCCCCCCCCCACCACCACCAGAAATCATATAAACATACCCTGAATTTTCAAGTTCTAATAGAAACTCTGAAATGTTCATAAGGGAATGAATGGATGAGGAAGAACATTAGGCTCTTTACTCTTTATTCCTGCCTGATGAAGTTAGCCTGAACTCGGAGGCATCTTCTTTCTGACTGGTTTAGGTTGGGGTGGAATTGAGGAAAAAGTGGAGAATGCAGTTAATTCAGATTTAGCTGACTTTTTCTGATTTGCAAGTTGCTCAGTAGAGTTTCTCACTTATTTAGACATTCCACAAAATTTGATAGGAGTCATCAAATAAGATGTCCCTTAAGTGATCCGTAACACATTGGTCTGTGCTAGATCTCATCATGTTGCTCTAATGGTCTATACTAGCTCTAGATAATAATGTGCCTGTTTCCATCATTTTTCATCCTTGCAGTCATGTAGCACATGGAATTTAATGGTACGTATTTTGATCACAAGAGTATTGTTGCCCATTCATTCTTAGCAATTATTCAAGTTTGCAATACAGTCTTGGTAGCCTATGGACTCTCTGTTGTATGCTACCTCTCCAAGACTTGTCTATTTTACAAATAAATTGGCACTTTGTACTTTTGATTCCTTCATCCAGTCTCTGACCCGCAGCTCCATCTCCTCTGTATGAGTTTTGTCTTACTAGTTTTGCATCTTAGATTCCACAACTAAGTGAGATCATTCAGTATTTGTCTTTCTCTGACATTTCACTTACCATAAATATCCTCAGGATCTATGATGTCACAAATGACACGATTTCATTATTTCGTATGGCTTCATAGTATTTCTTTGTGTTTATAAACTGTGTCTTTATCCCTTTATCAGTTTGTTTTTACATATTTTACATCCAGTGCCTTTAAACACTATTTTACTACCTTTTAATGATTAGATTTTTTTTTTTAAAGCTCCTGTTAGCACCTTGAATGTTACTTCCAAAATGGGGAAGAGGATTGTGAACATAGCCTCTTGGTAGAACCTTTTTGTATGTGAGGTCCTGAGTTTGACCCTTAACACTACACAAAAATAGGGGAAGATTTAAGGGAATCAGTGAATAGGAAAAGTTTAGGGAGAAACATTTTTTTATTGGTTTTCTGTTCTAAGGAGGGTGATGACTAAGAGACACTTCAGGGGAACACTATATTAATAAAAAAATATAATGCTCATGCATTTTTTTCATTTTCTTTGTTTCTTTTTTCTTTTCTTTTTTTTTCCCCCTGCCATACTTGGTGTTGCTTAGAGCTTAGTTCTGGCTCTGCACTCAGAAATCACTCCTAGTGGTGCTCAGGGACCATATGGATGCTGGGGATTAAACCAGAGTCGGCCATGTGGAAGGTGGCAACCCTCCCCACTGTACTCTCTCTCCAACCCTCATGCTTTTCTTTTTTTAAGGAAACAACATATTTTAGAAGATGAGGCTTATATTTTATTGAAATTAGTTGCATAGTTGTCTTGTTGCTCTTTTCTGTCAGTTGGAGATTTCATAGTATTTTCATGCTTTTGCTTCCTTAGCTAATAATAGCTTTGAAACCTTTACAGTCAGTGTTGTTTTACATATCAAAAAATAAAGCTCATAATAAAGCTATCTATTCAAAGGAATAGAATAAAAATATCTTTTTGAGTAGTTCAGATTTATTAAGCGATTTTGTTTCAGTAGTCAGGCCCATTGAGTTCATTCCATTAATGATTCATTAAATCAAGGAAATAATTTAAGTGTTAGATTCTGTTATAGATTATCCTAGATCCTATTTCATAATGGGAAAACTGTAGCTTTAAAGAAACAGTGACCAGGACACAAAGACAGCCTACAGGATAGAAAAGGATATTCACCCAATACCCTTTTGAGCCCCTCTCGGAGAGCCCGGTGAGCTACCGAGAATATTTTGCCACATGGCAAAGCCTGGCAAGCTACCCGTGACGTATTCGATATGCCAAACACAGTAACAACAAGTCTCACAGTGGAGACATTACTGGGCCCGCTTGAGCAAATCGATGAACAACGGGAGGACAGTGCTACAGTCTTGAATACAGCAGACAAGGCATTTTCCCAGCCAGGTTCAATCTGTGGCACCACATAGGGTCCCCAGAGCCTTCTCAGGAGTGATCCCTGAGAACCCCTGGGTGTGGTTCCCAAATCCCAAACACAAAAGGAAAAGGGCTAAAGAAAGAAGGAAGTGCTTACCTAAATGTAATCTGTGAATTGTTTAAACTGGAAAAAGAAATTAAACCTACCCACTTTCCTCTTTTTAATCACTCTTTTTTTTTTTTTTTGGTAATACTTCAGGTTGGAAGTCGGATTGCAGATCGTGTGTATGATATAGCCAGGTAAGACATTAACATAGTCATTTTTGAACACACGATCTGATCTCTTGACTGGAGACAGAACGGGATGTCTGAAATGATAAAATTTGGAAGAATATGTTATGATGGAACAAAAGGGAATGCCCTGCCACAGAGGCAGGGGGATATGGGGGGTGGGAGGGATTCTGGGATCCATGGTGGTGGAAAATGGGCACTGGTGGAGGGATGGGTATTTGATTGTATAATTGAAACTCAAGCAAAAAAAGTTTGTAAGTCTACAACTGTACCTCATGGTGTTTCACTGATAAAAATTTAAAAAAAAAAAAAGAACATGCCACAGAAGAATAATTGGGTTTTATGTAGAAAAAAAAATAAAATATTCAGTTAAAAAAAAGAATATGTTATGACGATCAGTAATTTTAATCATTAATCTAAGTCTTCCTTTTATTAATGTCTGAGAGAGCAAATGTTCTTTCCTTCATTTCTCTGAAAAAAAGAATTAAAAGGCTATGGCTGTTACTCAAGTGGTAGAATGTTTTGCTTGTGTAAGCCCTGAGTTTTATTCCTCCAGTGAGTGACTCTGGAGCAGCAAAGAGCGGGAGCCTGCCAGGAGTACTACTTTCCCGCCCTCGAAAAAAAGATGTTCATGGAAGCACAACTCATAACTACCTTTTGAGCCTGAATGACTGGACCACTTGATTTGACAACAACAACAAAAAGACAGTTAAAAGATTTTTTTTTTCCTCCCAGAATTGAAGATGAAGAATTTACTGCATGTGAATTTTCTGTAACTCAGCCTACCTTTAAAAGTCATTTCAGGGGTCTGGAGTGATAGCACAGCGGGTAGGGCGTTTGCCTTGCACGTGGCCGACCCGGGTTTGATTCCCAGCATCCCAGATGGTTCCCCAAGCACCGCGAGGAGTGATTCCTGAGTGCAGAGCCAGGAGTGACCCCTGTGCAATGCCTGTGTGTGACACAAAAAAAGAAAAAAAAGAAAAAAAATCCTTTCAGATTAACAGGATCTTTTGCTAGGTGATAGACTATTCACTTATATGAGACATTAGCTATTAAGTGTCAGTAGGTTATACAGAATCAGACTTGAGAAAAAACACTTCTCTCAAGCAATATTAAGATATTGCTGGATCCTTAATTCCATATTAGACATAATGATAGCTTTAAGATTCAAGTTTCACTCATGTGACAGGAACCACAGTTAAGTATAGTTTACATTTTTTTCAACTTTATGATAATATAAAATAATAGACATTCGATAGAAACTAGAGTAGGATATTCTTTTGTTAATTTTTTTGTTAATTTAAAAATAATCTAATCACTATGAATTACTGTTATTTATGATTGGGTTTCAGGTGTACAGTGTTCATATCCACTTCTCTCCACCAGGGTTCCCAATTTTGCTCTTGCTTTCCACGCTACCTCTGTGATAGACTCTTTCTCCTTTTTTCTTTTCCTTCCAGGCACTATGGTTTATAATATTGTCACTGATAGGGTATCATACATGTCCCTTTACCTCCTTTCATCAACAAGTCCTCGTCCAGAGTTACCACTTCCCTCTGTCATTGCCATACTCGTCCCTTTTCTGACCTATCCCTGCTCCCTCTACAATGGCGAGCGTCCTCTTAAGAACCTGTGTCCTTGCTCTTTGCTTCTGGTGCTTTTGGGCATTATTGATCCCTCTACTTTGTTTTTTTATATCCCGCATATGAGTGAGCTCATTCTGTGTCTGCCCCCCTCCCTCTGACTCATTTCACTTAGCATGATATTCTCCAGATCCATTCATGTATCAGAAGTTGCATGACTTCACTTTTGCTTCACTTTTGCAACTCCCAATCAGCATTTTAAAAATCTTCAACTTTTAAAGGGTAAATTATAGCAGTTATACTTTGGCATAGACTATCTCTCTGATGTTAGCTTTCACTTTTTGTGTTTCTTTGTTTAAAAACTTCATCATTAACTTTGACCATTGTGGAAAGGATATTAGATTTATCTACCAGAAAGAGAATTTAGTTAAAAAGCACAGATCTTTATTATTTTTATCATTGCTGCTTTAAAAGATCTTGGGTGAGTTAAAATTTTTGTTGGGTGAAAATATTCATTATTGCAAATAATGATATAAATATAAATAATAAAAATATCATATGTTTTATTTCCTTATTTTCAAGATTTGAAAAGTAGCTATTTCTCTATAAAGTAATTATTCACTTGTCTGGATTTTAGGCCATTTGCGATTTAATAAATGAAACAGTAAATTGTCCAAATTGGCTTGGGTTTTATAGTCTTTTTGTGTTTTAGTAATGAGCAAAACACAGGCCTATGGAGAGACCTGTGATTCTAGCTAAAAGCATGTCTTAAACTAGTATTTTGGAATTAGATTATTAAAAATACAGCCTAAATGTCATTGCACTAGTTGATGTTCATTATTTAGTGTTTATTGACACTAGATTATTGACACCAATCTTTTGATTTTTAAAATTAACCTCTCAACTAAATGTCTAATGATGTATGAGGCTCACTTTAATACTATTGACACTAGATTATTGACACTAAGATTATCGACACTGATCTTTTGATTATTTTTTGAATTTTAAAATTAATCTCTCAACTAAATATCTAATGATATATGAGGCTCACTTCATACATTTATGATAGATGATGATAATGACTCACCTGGGGCTCCAGTAATAGTACAGCAGGTGGAACATTTTCTTTGCACACTGCCAACCCAAGTTCCATTCCAGGTTCCACATACAATCCCCCAAGCCCAGAGTGATCTCTGAGTGCAGAGCTAGGAGAAAGCCCTGAACATCAAAAATAAATAAATATATAAAGGAATCAACTTATTGAGCTTTGTAAACTGTGCAAGAAATTCTTTATATGCACGACTTTATAAAATTTTCTCATACTAAATTTGAAGGAAATGTGACTTTTTTATTGTGTAGTTGTGGAAAATAAGATTCAGCAGGATGAAATCATTTCTGTCGTCCTCCCCACCCCATGTCAGTTTTAACTCCTGTTTAAAGTATGTAACTTTACCTTGCCATATAGCTTATGTTTACAGTCAACATAGAGGCCTTAGGTAAATAAACACTTCTTACTAGTGGTTCACCAACTGTATACTGGTTTTCTTTCTTTCTGTCTTTCTTTTTTCTTCTTTCTCTTTCTTTCTTTCTTTTTTTCTTTCTTTCTTTCTTTCTTTCTTTCTTTCTTTCTTTCTTTCTTTCTTCCTTTTGTAGGTTTTTACCAGAAGTTGAGAAAGGGCTCCTGATTCTGATAGGAAAAATGTTAGCAAATAAAATTTCAAGTTTTCTTTTCACAATTTGTTTTCTTAAAACATTGACCTATATCTGGATGTGTATGCCAGCTTATTATGACATGTATTTGAAAGAGCCAGCATAGCAAAGAGGGTAATAGTTCTGGTTTAGGATTGATATAATCTTAATTCAAATTCTTATTGCCACTTACTACTTTGAACTTCGTAAAATTTCAGTAAAAATCTGTTACTATGAAGCTGGTGTTAAATTTAATACTCATACTTTATAATATTTTGCATAATATTTCAGTGTGTGATCTAAGTAGTTAATAAAATTCTTGATAAGTATGCTAGATATTTATGCTTTTTCATAGTCATATACATTAACTTCTTTTCATTCTTTATTTGATTTGTTGCCAAATTAAATACACCCAGCAAATTCATATCCATGTCATGGAGCAACGTATGGAAACGAGTTGATATGAGGTTCTGTGAATAGACGAGTCAGACTTTTTGTTATGTTTTCTGGTAGATACAGCTTAAAACAAAAAAACACAATAGAAAAGGCAGATGGTAAAACTTTTGAATGTGTGTTCTTTAATTTTTTTGGTTTGGGGGTTGTACCTGGTGATGCTTACAGGTTATTCCTGGCTCTGCACTTAGGAGTCACTCTTAGCAGTGCTCAGGGGGCAATTATGGGATGCCAGGAAGAGAACTGCGTGCATCGGCCACTTGGCAAAGGAAGTGCACTACCCATGGTACCTCTACGGCCCAAATGTTGTGTTCTTTAGAAATGTATTTAACTTAAATCTCAGTCTGTGTATGCATGAAATTATTATTAACAGAATTGTAAATCGTGATACATCAGTAAAAGTGGGAGTGGACTGAGGTGGAAAGATGGAATCACGGATGGAAACAGCACTTGAGTGGAGGGTGTGATGTATGGAATGTTGGATGGATGAAACTTGTTAATAGTATTGCAAATAACAATATCTCAAAAAAAAGAAAGATTAGTTCTTAATAATTCTTTTGGGACTGTGTTACTATTAAGCATGACATCACTCTCCTTTTTTTTCAGAGACTTCTCCCTAGCTTTGGATATTGGTTCTGGAAGAGGTTACATAGCACAAAATTTGAATAAGGTAGATTTATATCTATATTTGTTTAATTTATTTTGCAAAATAAAGTTGACTGATTTTTACTGAGTATATTTGATACATAACACAAATTTAAGACATTCGATGTTTTAATTTTTCATTTAGCACCTTCTCATATATCATAACAATGGCAAAATTATTGTGTATATTCATTATACTATCCATTAGGTCTTTCCGTTTTATTTACTCATTAAAAGTTTGCACCCTTAGACTTAGCCCCAGTCTTCATCTCCTGTAATATGATTCACTGTTTTTTTAAGTCCACATATAAATGATCATACAATATTTGTCTTTTAAAAATTGGCACATTTTAAGGAAAGACATTCCTGATCAATTCAGTTTGTAGCATATTTATTTATATTTTGATAATGTCAGTACTGCTCGTTGTTTTTATGTGAGGCAGGACCAGTAGCAGTTTTGTGTTTCCTTGTAAGCTTTATTAAAAAAATAGTAAAGCAGTGGTTCTTTTCTACCTTTTTTTTTTTTTTTTTTTGCTTTTGGGATCACACCCGGCAATGCTCAGGGGTTACTCCTGGCTCATGCACTCAGGAATTACTCCTGGCAGTGCTCGGAGGACCATCTGGGATGCCGAGAATCGAACCTGGGTCGGCCATGTTGGCTGCGTGCAAGGCAAACGCCCTACCCGCTGTGCTATCGCTCCAGCTCCGTCTTTTCTACCTTTGAATCCATTTTATACAAGGTCATACTGATAGAGTGCTTTTTTTTTTTTCATATACTCATTCCTAAGTTATCTTTGCTTTACCTTCTGACCCCTGTTAAGTTTCTACTCAACACCCTCATCAAAAATCCCTTCCCTGACTGTTGAGAAACATAGTGTCCTGCTCTTCACTAGCTGGTTGCTTTTGTTTCCAGAGCATTTACTGGTTCCTGATATAGGTTTGTTTATTTGGTGCCTCTCTCCTCCTCTTCTTCCTCTCTCTCCTGCTCAGGGATTACTCCTGGTAGTGCTTAGGAGCCCCACAGGATGCCGGGGATCAAACCTGGGTTAGCTGCTACCACAGCAAGTGCTTTATCCGCTGTACTCTCTAGACCCTGTTCCTGTCTTTTTTTTTATTGGACATGTTCTTTTTTGTTCACCATCAATTTTCCAGTATTGGAACACAGTGAAAAATTACTAAAGGAAGGCTGCCCTGGGTTTGAACCTTTGCACTGCCTAGACCCCAGTAGTGCCTAACCACCGCTGGAATGTGGCTCTGGAGATCCCTGAGCTCCTGCATGAGTCACCTTGGAACCAGTTACTTAGCTTCTTAAGACTATGAGTTTTTGTAGAATCTGTGCAGTAGTACCTGTTCTGAAGGCTTTGAAAAGGATTAAATGGGACAAGTAAGGATAGTCACTGGAAGGTACTGTTATATTTGGACTCCTGAGGCTTTGAAAAGGATTAAGTGGGATAAGTAAGGATAGTCACTGGAAGGTACAGTTCTATTTGGACTCCTCTGGTAGAGTTGACAACCGAAGATACAGGAATAGGTTAAGTTTTCTGGGACAGGAATATAGAAAGGAACCTTCCACACTTGTCCTTTAGGGGTGGGAGATGAGATAGACATGCAGGGAATAATAAGCCAACATGGAAAGTACATCTATAAAAAGTCTTCATTATAAAAAGCAGAAATCCACCAAAGCCAGATTAGTACAGTGGCATTGATTACTTCCAGCCTTTATATCATTCAAATATCCACAAGTATAATGAGGTGTCCAAAAGGAAGGACTTGGAAGCATCTCTAGAATACTTAGATGCTCATGGTGGCTGTTCTGGTTTTCTCCCTGCAGACACTGTCTCTGATGATCACAGTGTGTGCAGCCTTACACCCAGTCGTGTTCTGAAGCTAGCTCATACCAACTCATGAAAGCCAATTGTTAGCATCTCTGCCCTGCTGTTTCCTCTGTAATGTGCTGATAGCTTGAAAACAGTCATAATAGAATACTTGTGCCACGCAAGTTGAAAATCACACAGGAGTCCTTGGTAAGGGGGGCATTTAAATCAAACATTTATCAGTATACTGCTGCCTGCACTGTGAATTCTTCATACTCTTCACAATTGCAGGAATCTCTAAGTCACGTAATTTCAATTTTGGAGGGAGAGACAGGGAAAGATAAACTGATTGGCCTAATAATTCACCCTCTGCCCTGGTGTGCTAGAGCTCCTTCATGAGAACCAACTGTGAACATCTAAATACATTTAACCACAACACAGGGTAGCATGAAATCTGTCATTGTTGGCATAGCTTGTAAATTGTAACTTATAAATTGTCACTTTGTAATTTACAATTGTAAATTGTTACACTCTTTGTAAATTGTCACTCAGCAACTCAGGACACCTTTCTTCTCAGAGCTTGGAGTTAAACATTAGCCCTCACAGTTTATCTTTAGATAATCAGTAGTGGCCAGGTAATGGTAGGATTTTATAAATAGGCTAACCTTTGGATGTTGTGGGCAGGAGAAGTCTGTAAGAAGATTCCAGGGGTAAAGTGAATAGCATTGGCTTCCTCAGCAGCAGAGGGAGATGTGAGTAGAAGGTGCTAAGATCTCTAGGAACTGATCAGCTGTGCTGTGCTTTCAAAGAGGTCAGTGAAGAACAGACTTGTTACTGCTGACTAGGTTAATAGAGATCATTAGGAATAGTTTCAGTAGAACATTCAAATGGAAATCATGAGAACCAACTGTGATCATGATAACCAAGAACTGGGGACTTTTGGATTACAAGTAAAACAGTTAGAAGGCAGGTGGAAATGAGATGATCTTTCCAAGATTGGGACGCTTTTAAAAATGTTTTAAAATACTGGAAAGTGATATTCAGTGGATAAGGCGCTTACTTGCCTTGTACTTCCCTGACTGGATTCAATTCTGTTACCCCATATGGTCATCCAAGCCTGCCAGGAGTAAGCCCTGAGTAGAGCCAGATGTGGTCTTTAAAAAAAAAAACACCCCAAAACACCAAAATAAATTAATTAAAGATACTGGAAAGAGTTGAGGTGGAAGGGATTGGAGAATAGAAGATATTATGATGGAAGAAGTAGGATTCTATATGGTGTTAATCTGGGAAAGAAATAGGATACCCTTTCAAAGAAAGGAGCTAGGTGAAACAAAATGAAACCATGTAGACCCCTTCAAGTATCTGAATTTGGTGTCTTTCTTTACTCTTTGAATTAACAAAAGTCAAGAAAGCCATAGTAGGTCTTTTTGTAGCATAACAACAGACTAACTCAGAAATTAGTGTATATTTTTTAAGGCTTTGTACAGAGAAATATCCTTATAGAGCTGAAAATAAGTCTCTTTTACTAAAACTTTAGCAGTTTTAGCAGTTTGGTTTCATTTGTTACTGGATTGTTGTTTTTTTTATTATTTCATCAATTTTATTCAATTGCAGGAAGCTGTTGGAAAGATTTTCCAAACGGACATTGCAGAAAATGCTCTGGTAGGTAGTTTATTAACATTTGGTTTCTGATTCTTTAGTCTGATTTATTTAGTTTTTGGGCCACACCTGGTTGTGCTCAGGGCTTTTTCCTGGTTTTATGCTCAGGGAGCTTGGGGGCCATATAGGGAACTGGAAATTGAACCTGGGTTCACTGTGTGCAAAGCAAGCACCCGACCTGCTCTACTTCTTTTTCCAGTCCCATAGTCTGATTTTTTTGCCCTTTTCTATTTTTCTTTTACAGTGAAAATAGTGGGTCCCCCCAACCCTCAGTTACAAATGTAGCATACATACAAAAAGAATTGAACAGTTGACAATGTAGGAAATATGAAAGAGAGAGGAAAAAGAATATCTGCTAAGAACTGTCTAAATATGTAGGGTAGGTTAAATAAATCTATTAGCATTTATCGCCAAGTCCATCCCTGACCCCTAGTATTTGGGATTTTTTTTTTTTTTTAGGCCATACCTGATAGTGTTCAGGAATTGTTTTGGCTTGATATTCAGGGATCTCTCCTGGCAGTGCTGGGGAAAGATCCCAGGACTCTAGCAGGCAGAACTCAAGTTCTTTTTCTTTTTTTTTTTTTTTTTTCATTTTTTATAATTTTATTTATTGAATCACTGTGAGAGCAGTTACAAAGCTTTTGGGTCTAAGTCTCAGTCATACAATGAAACAACCGTACCTTCACCAATGCCCATTCTCCACCACCAAAAATCCCAGTATACCCCCATCCCACACCGTCCCCCTGCCTGTGGGGCAGATGATTTCTACATTACTCTCTCTCTGCTTTGATCACATTCACTATTTCGACACCAGACCCACCATTATTTAAGATTTTACCCCAACACTCAGATCTGCTGAAAAGGCAACAATAGACAATTTGTGTTCTGTTGCTGGTTATGAATAACATATGATGTCGTAGGGCCATGTGGTTTTGAAATTCTGAAATTTTAACATTTAAATCTGGAGGGATTTCTGCCAAAAGCCACTGGGTTTAGAGATCTGCTCCTGAGTCTCTGGGATCATGGCCGTTGAGCAGCTTGATGAGGAGCCAAAGAGGCCATTTGTGGGTGATGACTTGGGGGTCTCATTGGGGTGGGGAAGACAGGCCCGGCTCCACCTCCCCCCCCCATCCCATGAGACCCAACAAGTTTCGTCACTGCGGGCCCAAGCCTGACTGTCCAATGGCCTCTGGAGGATGACAGCCACCAAGTCGTCAAGAGGGAGCAGGCGGAGGGACAGCACCCATTCCCCCCCTGGGGTGGCCCGGCGACAGTAACCTACTGCGGGGTCCGGACACATTTCTGACAAAAGCCGCTGGGTTTCGAGATTTGTTTCTGAGTCTCTGGGATCAAGGCCGTTGAGCAGCTTGATGAGGAGCCAAAGAGGCCGTTTGTGGGCGATGACTTGGGGTCTCATTAGGGTGGGGAGGGCAGGCCCGGCTCCACCTCCCCCCCATCCCGTGAGACCCAACAAGTTTCATCACTGCGGGCGCAAGCCTGACTGTCCAATGGCCTCTGGAGGATGACAGCCACCAAGTCGCCAAGAGGGAGCAGGCGGAGGGACAACACCCTTTCCTCCCTGGGGTGGCCCGGCGACAGTAACATATTGTGGAGTCCGGATGCATTTCTGCCAAACGCCACTGGATTTTGAGATTTGTTTCTGAGTCTCTGGGATCATGGCCGTTAAGCAGCTTGATCAGGAGCCAGAGAGGCCATTCGTGTACAATGACTTGGGGTCTCATTGGGGTGGGGAGGACAAGCCCAGCTCCACCCTCATCCCGTGAGGCCATGTGTGTCTCGTCACTGGGGGCCCAAATGTGACTATCCAGTGGCCTTAGACAGATGGCGGCCACTGGGCTGCCAGGGGGAATAGGCCAAGGCACGAAACCTATTCCCACCTGGATTGACCCAGCACCGGTAGCCTACTGCAGAGACCAGACGCATTTCTACCTAAAGCCACTGGGTTCTGAGATTCGTTTCTGAGTCTCTGGGATCATGTCCATTAAGCATTTCAATCAGGAACCAAAGAGGCCTTGCCTCCAATTATATAGCTGAGCCGGAGGTGGTTTGTGGGTGTGTTTCCCACATACCTAACTTTTGGCCGTTTACTTTCTTGGTAAACTTTGCCCCAAGTTTTTGGGTTCTGGCCAAAGGCACAGCAGCAATTTTGGGGTATCTGGAAGTCTGAAGGCCCCATGAGGCTGCTGATGCACTCGCGTCACAGGTACAGATTGACCTGCTGGTGGCACCATACCCCCGTCAAGTTCTTTTTCTGTTGTGTTTTTGGAGGGCTTGAAGGCCATACCCTGATGTGCTCAGGGCTTATTCCTGGTTCTGGCTCAGGCGTGGTTCCTGGCTTTATTCTCGGGACCATAGGTAGTAAAAGAATCATATTGTGTTTGGTGCTTGCCTTCCCTGAGCCCCCTTGTTGTACTATCTCTGGCCCAAAACTGTATTTCTTAAATTGTGAATTTTGTGATGTGCCTGTATGTTGTGCATTATTTACTCTTCATTCATTCTTATTAGGTCGCTTATAAGAGTCTTTTGGAGATGAAAACTTAGTATCTTTCATCACATATGGTATAAAATTGTTTCCCCTAGTATAGTTTATAGTGTTTATTGCTTCTTGAGCTTATAATTATCTTTAGATAGAGCAGTCTTTTCCTTTAGATTTTACCTTTTTTTTTTAATGTAGGAGTGCTTCTATTTATTCAGTCATTGATTAAGCTGATTAAACTGGGCATGAACTCCACATTACTTTTTTTAACTTGGAATATGAATTTTATTTTATTATTTTATTAGTATTTTTTAATCACCATGAGATATAGTTACAAAGCTTTCCTGTTTGAGTTTCAGTCATACAATGATTGATCACCCAACTGCCCACCAGTGCACATCTTCCACCACCAAGGTCCCCAGTATCCCCTCATCCCACCCACCCCCTGCCTCTGTGGCAGACAGTATCCCATACTCTTTTGTATTGCTTGTCATCAATAGCATAAGATTTTGCTACCGTGCTCTGCTGGAATTCTAAAATTTTAGATAATTAGGGTCTGGAGAAATCTCTTCAGTGAGCTGCTCTGTTCAGAGATTCTTTTGTGTGTCTCTGGAACTTGCTCATCCCCCATCCCTTGAGGGCTGGAGTTTGTCATCGTTGAACCCGTTTGTTTAAATACAATTAAACAAATTTTAATTGTATTTAATTGTTTTTTTTTTTAATTGTTAGTGCACTGAACTCTGCACTAACTGAGTTCTGGAAGTTGGCGGCCGCCAGGGCTTTTAAGGGGGCAGGTAGAGGGATGACACCTGCCCCCGTCTGAGCACCCCGGTGAAGTAAGCCTGGCTTAAAGTCTGGAGTCATCTCTGCAGTGAGTTGCTCAGTTTGGAGGTTCTTTTGTGTGTCTCTGGATCATGGCCCTTGTTCCTATCTTTTCCAAAGAAATAAACTATTGGCAAATGCCCTGCAGGGTGTCACTGGCCCTAACTTCGGCTTTTGATCACTTTCACGATTTATGGATCTCTGAAGTAAGGCCAATTAATGACCTTGTAGAGCTGAGCTGGAGGTGGGTGTATCTCCCACATACCTAACTTTTGGCTGTTTACTTTCCTGGTATTCTTGGCCCCAAGTTGTTCGAGTCCGGTCAAAGGTATAGCAGCAATTTTGGAGTGTCTGGAAGTCTGAAGGCACCATCAGGCTGCTGATGCACTCGCCCTGCAGATATAGGTTAACCTGCTGGCGGCACCATACACCAAACCCCTAGGTTTTACCTTTTAATTTGTTTACTTTGTTGTTTTTTTCTAGCAGTGCACCCATTTTTTTTTAAATGATGTAGGAGTTCAGCCATTGATTAAGCTGATTGAATTGGACATGAACTCCACATTACTATTTTTTTTAATTATATCAATATGGGATAGAGTTATAAAGCTTTCATGTTTGAGATTCAGCCATACAATGATGGAATACTCACCAGTGCACATTTTCCACCACCAATGTCCCCAGTATCCCCCCCCCCCCCCATCACACCCACATCCCAGTCCTCACCCTGCTTCTATGGCAGACAATTTCCCCAATACTCTCTCTCTAATGTTGGGCATTATGTTTTGCTTGAGATTTCCTACCTGCCAGAGGCAGACGCTAGATAATTCTTTTTCTTTTCTTGCTCTTTTCTTTCTTTTCTTTTTTTTTTTTTTTTTGCTTTTTGGGTCACACCCGGTGATGCTCAGGGGTTACTCCTGGCTCTGCACTCAGGAATTACTTCTGGTGATGCTCAGGGGACCATATGGAATGGTAGGAATTGAACCTGGGTTGGCAGAGTGCAAGGCAAACGTCCTACCTGCTGTGCTATTGCTCCAGCCCCAATAATTTATTTTCCATTGTTCTTTTTGAATGTCATGAGAGCTCGCACAGCCATAATTACAAGTGTAAATTTCTAGATTGTAAATGGTTGGGTTCCAGAGACATCACTATATGGCACTAATCCATTTTGGGATTCAATTAGGAGTCTCTGGGCCAGTGCTGTTGGTGCGCAAAGATGGCGTCCTGAGGCAAACTGGGCGTGACAGCCAGCCTGCCAGGCGAGTGGGGAACTAGGGAGGGACAGCCCAAGTCCTTTGCCTCCATGCCGCCTGGAGGTTTAGTTCTGGAACCTGCATACCTGGGCCTTGCTTGTGGAAGCTATTGGTCACCAGGATTCCATCTGGAGTAGGTGGGGACACTACACTGCTCCTTCTGGGCTACCCCGGTGAAATTGGCTCAGTATGGTTCCTGGAGAGATCTCCAGCGCTGTGGTGTCTTCTGGGACTTGCTGCTGTGTCTCTGGGCCAGGAGTGTTGGTGTGCTAAGATGGCACCCAGAAGCAAATTGCGGGCATGACAGCCAGTCTGCTGGGCAGGCAGGGACCAGGGGAGAACAGCCCTGGTCCTCTGTCTCCATGCGACCTGGAGATTTTAGTCCTGGAACCCGAATACCTGGGCCTTTCTGTGGAAGTACCCGTATTTTCATGTCATACTTTTGTGTTTTGGGTTATTTCATCGGAAATTTCAACCTTTAGAGATTTGTTTTGGTATGAGATGGGTATTCTGTTTTTATCTTTCCAATCAGCTAGCCAGTTTTTCTGACTGATCTCAGCACCATTTAAGAGAAACTTCTAATTTCCTTTAATAAAGGATAGAAAATGCCATGTAATATGGCATTGACTTAAGTATAACAAACTGTGTGTTAATAATTGAAATTTTATATAAATATGATTCTGAACTTTGAACTTTTATTTTTAATTATTAGAAAAATACCTTAGAAACTGAAGTTCCTACTGTCAGTGTTTTAGCTGATGAAGAATATCTTCCCTTCCGTGAAAATACGTTTGATCTGGTGGTTAGCAGTTTAAGGTTGGTGATCAATTTGTGATTTATAAATAAGTATAAAGGCTAAAGATTTTAAGATAAAGAGAATAGATGAAGTGAAGTCTAATAAGTGGGGTTTTATATCACAAGCAAGTTTTCTTTGTTTATAACTGATAAGACGACTTCTATATATTCTTTAGTGGAGCTAGTTTAATATTTGTTTTTTAACATTCCTTGATTTACTCATCTCCAATAGAAGGGTTTCCATAGAACTGGAGATACACTATGAACAGATTAGATCCTTACTGTCATGCAGCAAACTCCAGTTGGATTCTTGGTCCCACATAATGTTCCTTGAATACTACCGGGAGTGGTTCCTTAACAGAACCAGGAGTAATCCCCGAGCACAGTGTGGCCCATGAAAAGGGAAAGAAGGATTTTCCTTCCCAAAGTAGCTTAGTATTCTGGAACTGATAATAATGGTGGTATTGAAAGAATAGACTGGCTTCAGTATAAAAATATTAGAGTGTTCCTGAACCTATTCTTGCAAATAAGGAAAAGCATATTATACAAATAGAAAACATAAACATTCCATGTAGAACCTTGTTTCTCCTCTCGTCATACATAGATCTCTCCCCTTTCCTTTATTTGAACAGCCAGGAGTTACATACTTGCTTGTGGTGCTTGCACACTGATTTTTAATTGTGCTCATCAGGGTTCAGACAGTTTAGTTGTGGCACTCATACTATTGTTTGTGGCATGGCCAGAGATTGTACCACTTTGTTGTGGCTCCAGGGATTACAAACAGCAGTGATACCAGGATCACACACCGTGTGTCCCTACAGATGCTGGAGATTAAACTCTTGGCTTTATGCCTCCAAGGCAGGCATTCTATCACTGTACTATTGCAGGAGTTCAGTTAAATTATTGTGTGGGAAAATTTTATGTCTGCTAACAAAAAATTATGTAGGACTTAGAATATATGTATAGGTTAGTTGGTTGATTTCACTGATCAACATTTGTTTTAGGGCAACACCCAGCAGTGCTCAGGGCTTCCTCCTGGCTCTGCACTCAGAAATAACACCTGGAGGCAAAATATTGGGATGCTGGAGACCAGACCCAGGTTAGCTACAGGTAAGGCAAGTGCCTTACCTGCTGTACTATCTGGGGAGCCCCGATAAACACTGTTTAACATGTCATTGAGTACTTTTTAAATTGGGTGTGGGAGGGGCTCTGGAGGCCCAGATGGCTCTTGGCGAGTGTGGTCAGAAGTTCAGTGTAAGTGTAAGGGCCCGAGGATTAGATGCTCCTTGGGTCCTGCAGCTTTGAGGATTACCTGTGCCACCCAGCTTTGTTCAGGATTTCCCTTGAAACTGTGGCTGGGTATCAAACTGGGTTGGCCACGTGCAATGCACCTTAATCCCTGTACTCTGTCAATATTTTTGTTGTATCCTTTGGTTAAGATCCCAGAATAGCTCTGTTTAGAAGAGATGCTGGGTAGACATGATTTTTAATATTGTTACCAGCTTTATTGAGATGTTGCTGATATATGTTAGTTTAAGGCATATACTGTGATTATTTAGTACATCTACATATTGCAGAATTATTACCACTCAAAGGTTAACATATACTTATGTTATTTGAATTTAGCTTTTCTAAAAAAGATTTTTGTATAGAGATGAGTATATACAAGGTTGAATAGCATTCCATTATGTGTGTGTATATCTACACACACACACACACACACACACACACAGAATGTTCATGTAAAGATACATATGTCCACATCACCATTTTTGTTCAGTACTTAGGCTGTTTCCATATTTGGGCTGTTGTGAAAACTAAGTAGATAGCTTTTTCAAGCAATGTTTTCATTCCTTCTAATATGTACCCAAAAGTGGAATTGCTAGATCATGATTGTTTTATTTTCATTTCATTTTTTGATTATGGGGCCACACACACAAAGCAAGTGCCCCTCTCACTGTATTATCTCCCCAGCTTCTAATTTTATTTTTTTTGGAAGGCCGTGTTTTGGCCAAACCAGCAGTGCTCAGGACTTTACTCCAAGCTCTGTGTTTGGAGATCACTCCTGGCAGTGTTTGGGGAACCATTGAGGTGCTGGGGATCCAACTCTCTAGCCCTTATTTTTTTTGTGGAACCTTCTTTCAGAATCCCATTGTTGATACACCAATGTACATTTGTACCAACAATTTACAGGGGTTCCTTTTTCTCCAAAACCTCACCAATATATGTGTCTTGTCTTTTTGATAGTAGATATCATGAATTATTATAAATTGATACTCTAGTTTTGTTTTCTCTTCTGATTAGTGGTAAAGCTCATACTTTTATATAATAGTTATTTTTCTGGGAAAGTGAACTTTATATTCTGTGATGAATCGTTAAAAAGTGATCACAGTTTCTTTTCTTTTTTTCTTTTTGGGTCACACACAGAGATGCCAGGGGTTACTCCTGGTTCACGCACCCAGGAATTACTCCTGGCTGTGCTCGGGGGGCCATATGGGATGCTGGGAATCGAATCCGGGTCGGGTCGGGCTGCATACAAGGCAAATGCCATACCGGCTGTGTTATCACTCCAGCCCCAAAAAGTGATCACATTTTCTAATATGACACAACCTAGTTTTTTTCTATTTTTTATTTTGTATAAAACCAATCAGTAGATTCTGAGATACAGTTTCAAGGTTCAGAGTTAACACTTTGTGTTAATTAATTCGGTTAAGTTTATTCAGAATTAGATTTGTGTGTATAAATACACTGTTGATGATTATGCTAATTATATAAATTAAAACAAATGTATTTTCATATTGCAGCTTGCACTGGGTAAATGACCTTCCTAGAGCGTTTCAACAGGTAAGAAAGTACAATGTTGACTTTTAATATTCTTTTTTTTTTCTTTTTGGCAGTTTATAAATGTTTCATAGATTTTTCTTGCCTTGATAGTTGGGAAATGAAAGCAAATAGAGTATTTGTTGTCTATAGACCAATTCACGATCATCCTGTTGTAACGTCTCCTTCCTAGTCCTGAGAATTTAAAAGAGCCATATTCAGTGCTCTTTCAGGGCTAGGAGAATGAGATCTATCATTGTTACTGGTATTTGGCATATTGAGTACGACATGGGAAGTTTGCCAGACTCTGCCGTGCGAGCAGAATACTTTTGGTAGCCTGCTGGGTTCTCCAAAGTAAACACGAGATAATAAGATGTCCGGATCCTGGGTTTTATAGTCTCTGGGTCTTGGTCGTTGGTGGAACCATCTGGCTCCGGCAGCAGCTGGTGGGTGTAATGCCTACCTACTGGAAGATGGGGGATCTGGGTGGAGAAGGCCCAGTCCCGATCTGAGCAGGCTTGGAGATCTCAGCCCCGAAACCTGCATGCCTGGGTTCCTCTGCCGGTTCCTTCATACATGAGGCTTGTTCGGTGATAGACCAATTATACTTGGTTGCCTTTGGCACATTAAAAAGTACACTGGATGACTCTCTACTCTTTCAGAATATAAGAAATCTAATTATGAAAGAATACTTTTGTCTGGGTTTTAGTTCTTCCATAATTTCCTTTTTAATTATTTCATAGGAACCTACTTAGTTAGATTTTTAATCATCTTGCAGAACAGAATTACCAGTTAAACTTTAGCTTGTGACCTAGGAAGGCTTCAAGGGAAAGAATTGCTTGAATAGGGCTTTAGAGGGTAGGTCAGGTTTGGAGTAGGGAGCCTAGTAGAAAGGTAGGATAACAATGTAGGGGGAGAGTTACAAGATCCTCATAAAAGGACACCGAGGATATGTTTCTGGACCTACAGTACTGAGATGACATACATTGGGACCAGATTTAGGAGGCCTTGGGTAACAGATTTAGGGATTTGGTGTTCATTGCAGTTCAGAGCCACTGGAGAATCTTGAAGAGAATACTCACAGAAATAAATAATCTTGAATAAGACAAGTAGTTACTGCATCCTAACGCGTAGATGCCAGCCTGAATGGGGCTTAACTAACACAGACTGTAGTGCCGGCATCATCGTGTTGCATACATTCAGTTGTCAGTCTTCAGCTCTCTTTTGTATATGTAATTTATGTAAATGTTTTTAAATAACGAACTGCCGGACATCTTCATTTTGTTAGAATATTGGTGCTGCAAGAAATCAGTTACATTGAAGAGAGATTGTTTTAATGATCCTGGCATGAGAGAAAATAAACCTAGGTTTTCGATGAGAGGAATTAAAAGGAAGAGAGAATGGGGCCAGAGCAATTGTATAGTGGGGAGGGCATTTGCCTTGCACGTGGCCAACCTAGGTTTGGGCCCTGGTACCTCATATGGTTTCCCAGGTACCACCAGGAGTGATTCCTGAGTGCAAGCCAGCAGTAACCCCTGAGCATTGCAGGGTGTGGCCCAAACACACACACAAAGGGAGGGAGGAAGGGAGGGAATTAATTTAGGACTCCGTAAAAGTCAAATCAATAATTTGGTGACTAGTGGTTTTCAGTCAGGATGCCTGGAGAAGAATGGTTATATCAGATAAAGGGAGTAGCAGGTAGGTAACAGAAGCATAGTGATTAGGAGGGGAGTGAATTGAGAACAAATATTGTGTGTATGTTGGATATGTTCAGGGGAACAGAGTTTATGAAGAGACAAGGGTCACTGCCACAGAGAGCTGAAATAAGTTTATAATTCTGGGAATATTTCCAGACCAAAGATTAGAAATTCCTTTTGTAATTCCTGGGAGTTGATAAACCTTCCTAGGAAGAAGGGACAGATTACAGTGAACGAAATCTTAGTGACAACGGACGTTGCTTTAGATGGGCGAAAGGAAAGAAGTCAAAATTTTAGATTTAATTTGCTCTATTCTGTATTATAATTGCTTCATGATATCTTAAGTATAAATTCAAGTCTTCCTTAGTGTCATTGATAGGTTCTTAGAGACTTTAAGAAAACATGGCTTATTTCACTTGGGGCCACCTGGAGAGGGGTGGGCGAGAGCCCTCCCTGCCCCAAGGGATTCAGCCCCTGCAGCTGAAAACCTCCAGAATTCAACCACCGCCCTGCTCACGGCCACTCTCCACACACTCTGGCCAAGCCTCACCCACAAATGAACCTATTCCTGGACAGTTTATTCTACACACCCTACCCATACTCCAAGAATACGGCACCACATGTGATGGGGTTCAAAGTAGGAAGCAATCAATCTTAGAAGTATTTTTTTCCCCATATATATATAAAAGCACATAAGACTCATCCTTTAACAGCATTTTAGCGATCTCATAGAAGGGCTTAATGTCCCCTGGATGAAATACAACAATCTTCACATTCTTCTAAGGGGAAACTTTTGAAGCATTTTCAGCGTTTTTTCCATAATAAACAATACAAAATATATTATTTCAGTTCTGCTTTGGGGCAAGGACTGGGGTTCGGGATGGAAACATCCAAAATATGATGGTGGGAAGGTGTAATGGTGATGGGATTGGTGTTTGAATATTAAGTGTAATCAAGTATTGTGAACTACTTTATAAAATAAAAATAAATTACATAATAAATAGTAATAAATTACATAATATATAAAATAAAGAAAAGAAAGAAAACATTGCTATGAGGGCCTACTCACAGCTTGATGGTTGGAGGAAGGGAGTTACTCCTCAGGGTACTCAGGGGACCATGGTAGTGGCCAGGATCCAGTTCAAGACATTTAAACAACCTTAAGCAAAATGATGTATGTTATAATTTACTGCATAATCATCGCATCCTGTTTTTGCCGTTCAAAATTCGGTTTATGATCTTTCATGATATATTTTAGGCAGTTGTAAACTAAATGATTTTTAAGTCTCACTAACACAGTTTTTAAAAAGTCTCACATAATGGTTGCTTCCCACGTTTTTGCAAAAACTACACATAAAATTGATGAAAGTTATGTGATTTAATAAGAGTATGATGGTGTGTGTAGATATAATTAGCACAGGCCAGTTGATAAAAAGAAGTTAGATTATTCTATCATATTTCTAGTTACCAAAAATCACCAAATTTTTAAGCCACAAATACTTCTAATAATAAACTTTACTTTTTATTTTTAATTTATTAATTTTTTTATTCACTCACCCAGTTCAGTGTATTTTCAGAGTACTGTCTTTACAACTATATATCAATTTTCAGATAGCTGCGTGGTTTACTTTTATCTGATTTTTAATTTGACAAAATAAGTGGTAATTATAAAATATTGACTTAGGAATATGCAATTATTTTCCTACATTTAAATATTGAGGATTTTGTTTGTTTCTTATTACAGATTCATTATGTTTTAAAACCAGATGGAGTATTTATTGGTGCAATGTTTGGAGGCGACACACTCTATGAACTTCGGTGTTCATTACAGTTGGCAGAAACAGAAAGGGAAGGAGGATTTTCTCCACATGTTTCTCCATTCACTGCTGTCAGTGATCTAGGACATTTGCTTGCGAGAGCTGGCTTCAATACCCTGACCGTGGTAACTATCAAGAGGATCAAATGACCCCTTTAATTACCGAGCTTAAAAACAACTTTTTGTTTCAGAAATAGGTACTGGTATGGGCCCATGTTCCCCCTCTCCCCCCCATTGAAAAATGCTGAATTAAAGGATCACTTTTTTTTGAGCACTTGTTTCAGAAAACTATGTCTCAAGCATTCCCAAATGTAGCACTGGAAGTCCCTGAGCATCCTGTGTGTGAGCCAGGAGCCCTGAGGATGATGGTGGGCCCATTCTGCACCACCCAAGCAGCTCCATATCCTTGGCCTTCGCATTAAATAGCTCCTCTAAGTTGGCCAGATACCACCAGAAGTGGACTCTGGGCCCCCTGAGCCTCCTTGGTATCACCCATCCAAAAGTGGCTTTGGGAAATGGGGTAAAAAGTGCTAAGTTCCAGGGGGCTGGAATGATAGCACAGCTGGTAGGGTGTTTGCCTTGCATGCGGCCGAACTCGGGTTCAATTCCCAGCATCCCATATGTTCCCCCGAGCATAGTGAGAAGTAATTACTGAGTGCATGAACCAGGAGTAACCCCTGTGCCTCGCTGGGTGTGACCCAAAAAGCAAAAAAAAAAAAAAAAAGTGCTTAGTTCCTGGTCTGTGAGCAAATAAGTATTAGCTTCTTCCCTTCCTGTCCCTCCACTTTTAAGGTCCAAGCTTCTGATAGGAAATCATCTGGAGAGATAATGTTTGCCCCATTCCAACTCCCTTTAGTAGCAACGTCTTTCTAACAGGATGTCATTACTGCCCTCAGAGGCAGAGGGAAAAACTTGCTATAATTTCCCAAACCTTTCAGATGGGGAGACATCTCAAAGCCTGATTAGAGAAAATAAGAATTTCTTGTGGGGGTTGGGCTTGGGGGGGGGGGCATACCCAGCCGTGCTCAGGGGCAATCTTTGGCTTTGTGCTCAGAGATCACACTTGGCAAATGTTCAGGGGACCATATGTAGTACCTGGGGACTGAACCAAAGTTGGCTGCAAGGAAGTACCTTGTAAATAAGAATTTCTTGATAAATTTTCTCATTTCATAAGTAGATACAGCACTGTAGCACTGTCCTCCCATTGTTCATCGATTTGCACAAGTGGGCACCAGTAACATCTCCATTGTAAGACTTGTTACTGTTTTTGGCATATAGAATACGCCATGGGGAGCTTGCCAGTGCTCTCCAAGAGGGATGGAGGAATCAAACCCAGGTCGGCCATGTGCCAGGCAAATGCCCTGCCCGCTGTGATATTGCTCCAGCCCAAGTAGAGATAATAGGCTTAAAATTAAATGAACTCTTCAAGGTTATTTAGTGTGAATATATTTCATAAAAGAGGCAACTAAAAATGGATTGTCGTCTCCTTCCTGGTTTTGATAGGAGACAAGGTACATAGACCAGCAAGGGTCTTCAGAATGCTAAAAAGACGCTTCCAGGGAAAAGGAGATAAAAGCTAGGAGCTGGCAACAGTCTTTAAGATTTTACAACTGTATACAAATATCTGTATATTTTTGGTATGCTTCGATAGCACAGCAGTAGGGCGTTTGCCTTGCACGCAGCCAACATGGCCGACCCGAGTTCGATTCCTCCGCCCCTCTCGGAGAGCCCGGCAAGCTACCGAGAGTATCTTGCCCACATGGCAGAGCCTGGCAAGCTCCCCGTGACGTATTCGATATGCCAGACACAGTAACAACAAAGTCTCCATTGGAGACGTTACTGGGCCCGCTCGAGCAAATCGACGAACAATGGGAGGGCCTTTACCTTTACCTTTTTAATTATGTTTGTAATAATAGAAGTACATTTTACTTGTAAACACTAAACTATTCCCTCACTATCTCCAAAGTTTTAGGATTCTCGTGAGAGCAACAGTTCTCAAAATTTTGATCTTACACAGTTAAGATTATTGAGAACATTACAGTGCTCTTGTATATAATTCTATCATTATTAGCCATAATAATTAAAGCTGATTTACAGTGATATCAACAATATTTACGGGTTAATCTAAACTTTATTTTTTCTGCGAAAAGAACTGTACCTCCTAAAACAAAAGAAACAAAAAATGTCATTGCTCTATAGTTTTACAGATTTATTTGTTATTTTGTCCTTGAGCATTCCCCTTTATTTAAAAAACAGATTCGACAGTAATTTATATCTTGTAGTTTAAATTATTTATGTATTTATTTATTTTGCTTTTTGGGTCACACCTGGAAATGCACAGGGGTTACTCCTGGCTCTGCACTCAGGAGTTACTCCTGGCCATGCTCGTGGGACCATATGGGATGCTGGGAATTGAACCCTGATCAGCTGCGTGCAAGGCAAATGCCCTACCCTCTGTGCTATCGCTCCAGCCTCCTAGTTTAAACAATTTAACATTTTAAATCCTGGGAATTTATTTAGAAATAATCCACATGTATTATTCCTTCAGTGAAAAAAGTTATATTAATAACCAGGTTTACTATACTTCCCTAGAATACATGGCCAAAAGAAGTTATCTAAAGTGGCTTCGCTTATAGGTAGAAAAATTTGTGTCACTGTTACATAACAAATGCTATTTTAACCATTTTTGGCCATTTTAGATATTTTCTTTTAAAATAGTTTGAATGACAAGATAAAATTAAATATTTATGTCACTGTCACTGTCCTCCCGTTATTCATCGATTTGCTTGAGTGGGCCCAGTAACATTGCCAGACTTGTTACTGTGTTTGGCATATCGAATACGTCACCAGTAGCTTGCCAGGCTTTGCGGGCGAGATACTCTCTGTAGCTTGCCGGGTTTCCCGAGAGGGGTGGAGGAATTGAACTCAGGTTGGCCATGTTGGCCGCTTGTAAGGCAAACGCCCTACCTGCTGTGCTATTGCTCCAGCCCAAATATTTATGTACAGATATTAAAACATTTTTATTGAGAGTTGAAGGAATTATTTTCATTAATCAGATATATATGCTGTTGATCTTTATTTACAATATCATTATTACAAATTTAATATGTAGCTTAATTGAAGATTTTTCTGTATTATAAAATTTTAAAACTTCTGAAAAAATTCCCTTATTTGTTCATGAGAAAATAAGTGGTGAAAGTCAAATACATATGAGTATTTATATGTTTTGTTTGTGGAATAAGACACCATTGAGTCTTATTCCTGGCTCTGTGCTCAGGGATCACTCCTTGTGGTGCACAACAAACCATATGCAGTACTCGGGATCAAAGGAGAATTAGCTGCATACAAAACAAGTGCCTTAACCTCTGTACTGTCTCTCAGGGCTCTAAGGATTTTTATAAAAGTAGTTTTTACTTCAGGGGTCCTAAGGAGTCAAGCAGTTAACCTGTGGTTTGAGAAAAGTTACCTCAGCATTATCTATTAGTATCAGTTTGGAATGTAATATTTCAGATTCTTTCAAATAAGGAGCACTTTACCACAATGTGGTGTGTGTGTACATATATATATTTACACACACACACATATATGTGTAAGGTAAAGGTAAAAGGTAAAGGCCCTCCCGTTGATCATCGATTTGCTCGAGCGGGCCCAGTAACATCTCCATTGGAGACTTTGTTGTTACTGTGTCTGGCATATCGAATACTCTCGGTAGCTTGCCGGGCTCTCCGAGAATATTTTTTCTATAGTTTTTAAATCAATATGGATGTCTTCACTCTCCTTCTGTACATTATTCTGTACTACTAACTGTACTATAGTTTTACTGAAATATTTCTCTCATGGACAACATTTAGGTTTGTTCCAGGCTTGGGAGGAGGGATGGTTTGGTTTTTTTTTTTTTTCTTCATTTTTGTTGTTTGCCAATAGAAACAGAACTAAAATGTAATATCTGGCTTATTCTCCTTTTATTTATTCAATTTTAAAACATACATTAGTTGATACATTCTATGTACCAGGCAGCATTCTAGGTACTTGTAGTAGCAGTTAACTAAAAGGAACCGAGGCCTATGTTCTTGAATTTATAGAGACCTACTTAGTCTCTAGATTAGTTTTCCAAAAGTGGGTGGTACCCACCTCACCAGGGAGCCCTGAAATAATAGGCAGGATTGGGAGTATGCAATAATAGCTGTGAGAACATTTGGAAGATGCCTTTTTGCTTGTTCACTTAAAGGTGATAGTTTTCCGGGGGCATTTTGAGTTTTTTTTTTTTTTAATTTTTTTTTTTCCTGAAGTTCTAGGCCAAATAAGATTTGGAACCTCTGCTTTCAAGGGGCCAATTACACTGAACCATCCCAATGACACTGGGATGTTGTCCACAAATTTATTTTTTATTGCTCATATTTGGAGAATTTTGACTGGATAATATTAACAGGTCCAAAACTACTGGTATAAACATTAATGTTTAACATTATTTTACTTATGGAAAAATTTAGTTTTTCCAACTACCCACTTAAGCATCATCTTCCAGCATTCTACTCTGGAATTACCCTTACCCCATCTTGGGATGTGTAAATAATTAATCCCTTGTACTTCATGAGGTGCTCATGGTAGAAAAACCCTGTATATTCTGTTGAACATACTTTCTTTTCTTTCCCATCTAATAAAATTTTTTGCTTAACAAATAGAATAAAAAAGAATTATCTGGGTCAGAGCAATATCACAACGAGTCGGGCTGATATGATATCATGTAGCCTTGCACATGACTGACCCAGGTTAGATCCTTAGCACTACTATATATATTAGGAGGCTCAAGAATTAACTGCCATTTAGGAATTACTGAGCCATCATCAGGTAAAAGTTACTTTTGTTTTTGTTTTTTATTTTTATTAGTGAGACACCATTAGGTACAGTTGTAGACTTACAAATTTTTGTGCTTGGGTTTCAATTATACAATGATCAAATACCCATCCCTCCACCAGTGCCCATTTCCTACCACCACGGATTCCAGTATCCCTCCCACCCCCCATCCCCCCATCCCACCCAGCCTCTGTGGCAGGGCACTCCCTTTTGTTCTCTCTCTCCTATTGGGTGTTGTGGTTTGCAAAAGAGGCAGTGAGTGGCAGTCATGTTTGGTCTGTCGTCTACTTTCAGCATGCATCTCCCATCCTGGGAGGATCCTCTCAACACCCTTTATTTGGTGCACCCTTCTCTATCTGAGCTCCCTTTTCCCCTAGGATGTGTGGCTGGCCTCCAAGCCATGGAGTAAAATTCCTGGTACTAATCTCAGCCATTCTTGGGAAAATTACGTTTTTTAACCACAGGCAGTTTTCTACAGTTATTAAACAAATGTAATTTTAAAAAAAGATTGCTCCCCAAAATGCTTAACTTCACATGATGGCATTTAAAATTCTGTTAATTTGGGGACATCTCTTTATTCAGAATATCTTTTATCTTCTGTTCAGATAATCTGAATGATTTAAATATTTATACTATTAAAAATTAATGTAGAAACTTTTATAAATATTAGGGTATTAGTAATTTAATGATCTCTATGAATTTGAGACATACACACTATTGCTAAAGTCTGTTAACGTTATGTCCTGATTCATTTTCTTAAATCTCACCTGTTAAGACTTCTATTTAATCAATCATACAGGCTTATGTTGCATATGACACTAATATATTACTTTCATGCTGTAATGGACTTCATTTTTAAAGGGAAATCAAGTCAAATTGATATGTAAAGTTGCATTTACATGATTCAGTGATTTATTTTCAGTTAATTTTTATTTCAGAATAAAACTCATTTCCTTTTAGAATATTACTCATGGACATTTAATAGAGAACCTTTATACTGTCCATATTAATTTGAATAGGACTTTTGAAATTATTATGATACTTGATTGGAATGGAGACAGTGCTTTTAGTTAGTGTCTTTGAAGTATTTTCAAAGGCTATTGCTTAATGATTAGGTTTCAGCTTGAAAAGAACTTATTTTTAGGATAACTTTTTAGAAAGAAACCCTTAATATAGTAAATGTATAGATAAGGTAGTTTGCCCACAGATGATCTTTGTAAAAAGTTTGATGTATTTTTTTAATAAGGGGAAATTAAAAATAACTCAAGGTAGAATGAAATAAGTAATGGAGGTCTAAAGCGTAAGTCTTTTCCTGAATTTTGACATCCCATTCCTCTTCCATTAGATGACCCCTCTGTTCATGTAACCTTTTAGAATTCTTCTCATGGGCCAGAGTACAGTTTTTTTTTTTTTTTTTTTTGCTTTTTGGGTCACACCTGGCAATGCACAGGGGTTACTCCTGGCTCTGCGCTCAGAAATTACCCCTGACGGTGCTCAGGGGACCATATGGGATGGTGGCAATCAAACCCGGGTCAGCCACGTGCAAGGCAAACGCCCTACCCACTGTGCTATTGCTCCAGCCCCCAGAGTACAGTTTTATCATTGAAATATACTAAATGACCCCTGGGAATATGACACAGCAGTGGAACAGCTATCCCACCTCACGTGGGTGAGCTTTTTTTCCCCAGCACTGAAAAAAACTAAATGCAAAAATGAACCTACATTGCAGTATGCACTCATTTTTTTATATAGATTTTGTTCTGTTTTTATTTAATAATGCCTTGAAGATCTACCCCTGTAACAGTTGTCCCTTTTTATAACTATTTAGTGTTTTGTTGAATGGATATACTTTATTTAGCCAGTTCTTTATGTATATAAGATTGTTGCCATGTATATATTTTAATATTTATATGCTGAAGCAATACTGTAGCAAATTTTATTCCACATAATTTTGGAATTTCTAGCATTGAAATTGTTGGATAAAAGAATCTAATCTGCATTTCTGGGGCCAGAGATAGTGCAGTGGGTAGGGCTTTTTGCCTTGCATGTGGCCAACTCAGGATTTGATCCCCGGTATCCTGGATGGTCCCCCAAACACTGCCAGGAGTATTTCCTGAGTGCAGAACTAGAAGTAACCCCTGAAGATTGCCAAGTGTGACCCCAAACACATTTCCCCCCCAAAAAAATATCTACATTTCAGTTTTTGATGCCTACAATCGAATTATTCTCCAATGATAATATCAGTTCACATACAGCCTCAGTAGTGTATCCAAGTTCTTCTGATACTTTGCTTTGTAATGCTCCACTTCAAAAATGATAAAAAAGTAACTAGTCATTTTGTTTTGCATTTCTTTTAACAATTCAAATGGATGTTTCTAAGTGTTCTTTGGGGCTTAATTCTTGATTTTGTTAACATTATAGTCCAAAATTGGGAGTAATGGTTAAAAGTTGTAGAACCTGAAACTATCTGGGCATTTCAAAAGTATTTTGCTGAAATTGAGATCCTTGTAACACTTTGATAGTGCACTTAAAGTGGGTGCCCTGAACTTGGGGCTAGTTTCCGATAAAGATAAGTGTCAGCACATTAGTGCTTGACATAACATTTTATAACGGCGCGGGCTCATGTTGGTTGGGCAGCCCATATTCATCCTGTAGTTTTGCCGTTTGGCTCTTGTATTCTCTAAGGCAGTCAGGTGGGGGGTGGGGGTTCCAAGTAAAAATGCTGTAAATGGAGGGGCATAACATGAGATAAGGGAGCTAATCAGAAGGACAGTGGAGTCACAAAAAAGAAACAAGATCGGAAAAACACAGTTGGAAAAAGGTTGAGAAGCACTGCTGTGAGGTTAACGCAGCTGGAAGGACAGCCTGGGAAGAACTCACGAAGTCTTTACTACCTTTTCTCCTCAACCCCTGCCTTTGACAAGGGGAAATAACTGGGGGTGAGATGTGTCAAGAAAGAGAAAAAAGAGCAGGTGAATATTTGAAAAGCATCCGTGGTCTCTGTCAATGTATCAAAAGTAATCTTATGTCAGTCTTTGGAAAGAACACGCATCACACTAGGATCCACCATCGATGTTCCTATTTCCGGACAAGCCAGTGCAGCATTGCTGCAATACTAGAAGTAGACAGAAAACTGGAAGGTAACTCTGTTTAGCTTGTTTCTGAGTATCATCTTTCAAGAGAGAGTGATAAGAACTATTTAGAGAAATGTCAGTGTGTAAGGATTTATCATTTTGTTTATAAGACATCCATCTTCCATCACCGTCAAATAGTGGTCTCCTTGAAGTATTTTCAAAGACTCGAGGAAGAGGGAAATAGCTTTCAGAATATTAAATAGACTCTCTCTATGTTGTTCCCAAGGAGAGAACTAGAATCAGTTGATGGTACTTAGGAAGATTTTTCTTAGAATGGTGAAAATTTATTCTTCAGTTTGAAATAAATCGGGCATAAACTAGCTATTTGTCAGCCAAAGAATCCTGTAGAGGATAGAGGCGCTTACTGTGAAAAATTGATTTGGGTAATCCCTACCACTTTTTTTGAAATCTAGGAGTTGGGCTTTTTTGGGGGGGGTTTCTTTTTTTTCCTTTTTATCATGTTGAATGAATATTCCTTTTTCTTTTTAAATAGGACACTGATGAGATACAAGTTAACTATCCTGGAATGTTTGAATTGATGGAAGATTTACAAGGTAATAAGAACTTTAAAGAATTTTTAGACTCCATTTGATTCATATTTTTGAGAAGCAACTCTGGCAAGGCACTGGGGCTTAATATTAGGGATACATTGGTGAGGAAAAAACAGACTCTTCCCACGGCCAGGGTCACTCAGCTACACAATGATTAGTGTTAAATTAGAATTGTGGTCAGCTATGAAACAGCGGTATGTAGTGCTCCGACAGCCTGTAAAAAAGTAGGACTTTTATGAAGGTTGCATTTGAGTCTGGTAGAGTACAGCAGTGTTGAACTCAGGCAGTGATTTGCAGCTCAGATGTAGGCACAAGAAAGAAGGTTGTGGGATAAATTTGCAAAATTTAAATTTTGTCAGGGGATAGTCTGGAGGAGTTAACAAGTCTTAACCGCAGAAGTCATAACCATGCTCTTGAAAAAATGAAAATGAGGTAGGTAGGTGAAGAGCAGAGATAAGCCCAGCCAGAACTGCATTTGCAAAGACCCTGTTCTGAGAATGCCTGGTAATAATGGAAAGAAGAGTTCTTAAACTAGAGAGTGGGAATGAAAGTGATTAAATTGGTGGGCAAATAAGAGCTAGAGTTCAAACAGGATCTTAAAATCTTTGTCAGGTTTGTCTTTACCTTAAAGCACCCATAGAGGCATTTTACTGGAGGAAGCACAGTAAGGGGGGAGGGGGGATGTTCATTTATTAGCTTTATATTTTCAGTAGAACTAAAGGACACATAAACTAGACATTGAGGTTGGTGTAAAGATCACTGGAAAATGATGTTTTGGCTTAAGGTGATGTCAGTAGAGATGGAGAGAAGTGAATGAATTCTAGCGATAATTTGGAGATAGCTGTGATAGTTCTTTCTAGTGAAGTAGGTGTGGATGCATGAATGAGAGACATTTCAAACATGGCTGCTGAGTTTCTAGTACGCATAATCAGATAACTTGTTCCCGCTGTTGATGGAGGAAGTAGAAGAGGAGGTATGCCAATGTATGGGTAGAGGTATCTGCTCTTAAGCTTACATTTGGATGTGTTAGATTTGAAGAGCTTTTGAAATTCTAGGAGGAGTTGTCAAGTAGTAGTGAGGTAAGTGAGTAGAAGTGACTAGCTTGGTTGAAAATACAGGTGAGTGGATGGTGTTTGAAGCAGTTGCCTTTGATAAAAAGCCTGGAGTAGGAAGAGAATGTGACCTGGTCAGAGCCTTTTGGAACCTAGTAGACTAACACAATAAAAGATGTACCTGCAAAGACACTGAGAAAAAGTAATTCAATGAGCTCTTTAATGAACAGTAGTGGGGAAATAATGGTTTTGTCTAAACAGATGCTCCCAAATTTATTTCACCGGCTTTCCCTTACTTATCTGATAAAAAAAAAAATCACTCAGCATCATCCCAGAATATCTACCTTGTTTAATGGAACAAACAGAAAGTGTCTCCCAATTCCACCTGATCCTCCCATCCTCCCTGCCTTTATTAATATAGCACTTCTTACTGTTAAAGACTTACTTTGGGAGACATAGACCTAAACCAAGGAGCAGAGGTAGAATAGAGTATTCAGAAGCATCAGACACTGCTGAGAAGTGAGATGCTGAAATGACAGCCCATTAGATTTAGAGACAAGAAAGTTATTACTGTCTCTGGTAAGAACTCATTTGTTGATGCGATAGGAATACAAGTAATGAGAGTAGGTTGAGAACTAAGTGGAAGGTGAGAGATGGGAGACTCTCTTATCCTCTTCAGAAGTAGATGCAAGGAGAGGTGAGAGATGGGAAAATTAGAGGGGCCTCAGCCCTGTGCACCTCCAGGTGTGGCACATGTAAAAAGAAACTTTCCCTCCTGCTCCCAAAGAGTTGAGATCTGTAGAGTTATAGAATGGCCATTGAGATGGATGCTGGAGGAGTGATTTTTTTTTTTTTTTAAGGGAGCTTCAACTCACCTCACTGAGAGTGTGAAGTTTGGGTCTTTTATTACATAACTGGTCTTAATAGTTTCTGTGGATGTTGGAAACCAAGGGGATTAACAGTGTGTTTCATGAAACCAGAATTACTTTCCTAGGGGGCGCTTAATCTGATTCTTGAAAAAACTACAAGATTTAAAGCAAGAGTATTATTGAAGTCTGTATATTGTAGTCTGTTTCCTGTCTGCCCCCCCCTTTTTTTTCATTTTTTGAAGGGAAGGATGGAGGTGCTGCTAATTTTTCTCTTTTGCTCATAGTATAGAGAGATACAGACCCATGGGCCACTCCTGCAAGTCCTTGGCCAAGGGGCCTGAGTTCCATGCAAAGCCCCGTGATGTCATGCTGCTTGGGCCCAGTGGTGCTGAGCTGTTAGGGTATGCAGTGCTGGGAATTGAACCCAGGACTCCCTCATGCAAGGTATGTGCACTAGCCCTTTCGGCTATCTCCTGGTGCCAAAATTCTTGCCTTTTTGGCCTAATGCCATCTTTTTGTGGGTATAGGTGGTGCGAGGGAATAGATACAGGCTCTCACGTGTGCAAAGCAAGTGCTCTGCCACTGAGCCACATCCCCACCCTGGCATGATCTAAATTCACTCTACTTCTTAAACCTGCCCATTTGTAACAAAGTCCATTTATCCCTGATCTCACCTCTGAGTTAGTGCTTCAGTGAGGCTTACAAGATGAAATATGTGTTGCTGAAAATTCAGTTTTGTAGTCAGTATTCATTGTAATTTAGTTGAGTTGGCAACTGTAGCATGCATGCCCAAGATGGCAGAGGAGCAGCTCGAAATCCTGCAGCCCTTCCTAAACCCAGCCTTGAGATGCACAGGATAGAATCACAGAGAGCCTTCATCCAAAGGCTTGAGCATTAGAGATGGCTAATCATTAATCATTCAGATTTTTGTGATTAAAAAATATTTTTTAAATAAATAGCATTTATCTTCATCAAGTGGCATGCCTATGGTTCATTTCTAGAAAGGAAAGGGAAAGAAACTGGAAATTAGACCTACTAGTTGGAAAAGGTTGCTGCCAACCTATTTAAAAATGCAGTACTTTTGGATGGTAGTTGCAATTCTGGTTTTCTAATATCCTAATTTTATAGTTGAGCAAATTGAGGTAGAGAAAAAAGTGTTTTCTCTATGATCACACCAAATTTAGAGTTCATTTTAATCCAGAGTCCTAGATTGCTTTTTTGTATGTGTGTGCAAGTGTGTGTGTGTGTTTGTGTGTATATGTGTGTGCTTGAAGTTGGCAGTAATCTTAAGAGTGTAACTGGTATATTTTAATCACCATTCAGATCAGGAAATAAAATATTTCTAGCCCTGTAAGATTGTCTCATGCCCCTTCCTCATTGTTCCTCATTGAGAGCTTCCTCTTCTCTGAGGAGAAGGAGGTCATATATCTGTGAGAACCCTTGCCTGTTTGTTAAGTTTGTCAGTTCTTCTCTTATTTTTACTGTATAGTCTTTAATATCATGATTCTTTATTTTTGATGTCTTTGTAGGAAGACTTAAAGGAATTATCTAGAAATAATTTATTCGTGATATTTGATGAAATTAATGTAAACTTTAACTTGTTATATTCATTTACTTCACTTTATTGAATGAATACCATGGCTAGCCTCTGAGCCAGTGATGGAAATGCATAGTGTCAGATCTTAGGGAGCTTATATAGTAAAGCAAGAAGCAGGAATTTATAGTAAAGAGAGAAGCAGGCATGTTACTCAGCTGGAGATCTTTGTTGTTGTAAGGTACAGTGAGAAACACAAGAAAATGTTCGCAAGTCTTCTGAGAGTCAGGCAAGCATTAGTGGAAAAGAAAGGCAACATTTAAACTAAAATTAGTTTGTCTAGAGAATGAAGGCATGGGTGGAGGCTTGGGGAGTTGCATTTTATGCTGAGGAAATGACTTGATTAAGTTGAGACGGAAAAGGACATGCACTTCCTTTACATTCCTGTTTATGGAGTTGTATAGTGATTCACTGTTGCTAGCATGCATAGAAAGGGAGTTAATGGGTAATGGCACACAATAGTTCATTGGAGTCTTCTTGATTTCATTAGGTGAACCTTACCTAGTGTTGGGAGAAATGTAGAGAAGAGATGAATTTTTGTGCTCACGTTCTCCAGGACTTAGATTATCAATTAGATTTGTTTTTTTTTTTGTTTTTTGTTTTGTTTTGTTTGGGGGAGCTACACCTAGTTCTGAGCTACAACTCAGAACTGAACTTGTGGCTCTGTGTTCAGGGATCACTCTTGCTGGCACTTTCAGGACCATATTGAAGGCTGGGAATTGAACCCAGGTTAGCCACATGTAAGACAAATGCCCAACCTGCCATATTTTCTCTCCAGCCCCTATCCGACTAATTTTCTGAAATTTAAGGCCGAACTAATATGATCAATCTTTCTCATGATGCATGATAAAACTGAGGCGGACGTAATATAGGAATTTTCCCAAGATAATGTATTAAGTTGCGGTGTTTGGATTTAAGTTGAAGTTGGTAGCTTGAATCCAATCCTGAAGTCTCTCTCACTCCTGCCTGAAGAGATTAGAGAGAACTGAGGAGAGGAGGAGTTAGGGAGGTATCTGAGAGACAACCAGGTTTTCTGCGTTGCTTGTTAGTGGCATGATTATGGTAACACGTATGATAATGTTACCTTCAAATTGATTTTTGATACTTTTCATTGTGTTGGACTTTCTTGATGGTTGTGGTATATCTCATTTAAACGACCATTTTATTATTAATTTCACAGAAAAAAAGTCCAGAATGTTGACCTAATTTTACAAACAAGTTGCATACCAGCCAGTGAATGCATGAAAACTTTTGAAGGGTTTCACAGTGATTTTGAGGTAAGTTCAGTTCTGTTCCTTTTTGTTTTAAACAGTACTCAGTATTATTCCTAATAAACCATAATAAATTAGTTCCTTCTAATATGCAGTTGAACTTAATCTTAAAAACACTGTGAGAGTCTTAAAAAGTTCCTTGCTGGCTGGATTTTGCTGTAAAGCCCAGAACTTGTCAGAATTCCCTGCATCTGCCTTCCATATGGTTCAGTTTTGAAGATGGCAGGAGTTCAGTAGTTTAAATGATGTTGTGTCACGCACAGCACAATGCTTCCACAAGAAGGGAAGTTTTATATTGGTCTTCTCTCAGAAGGAAAGGAAATTGCCCTCAAAGCAGTTACTTGATATATATCATTTGAGTACCTTGAATTGCTACATGGTGTGTAGACATAGGTGTGACCAAAAAGAGCATAATTTCTAATAATCTCAGCATATCCTAGTACTGGTCATTGAGAAGGTATTTTAGGATTTCTAGTGCATTTTGTGTTTACATTTTGGGTTGGCTTTTTTTGTAGGCCTCTTTTTCTTTGGTTACCGACATTTAATGAGTGGGAAGCTCTGGCAACAGGGAAGTTGAGCAGCAGTGAAACTACCACAGCCTTTAGCAGTGCATTCTTCACGCTGAGTCCCTGTTTAGCTTTGATGTCACATAGGAAGTCTTCCTTCCTTCTTTCCTTCCTTCCTTCCTTCCTTCCTTCCTTCCTTCCTTCCTTCCTTCTACCCTCCCCCCACCTCCCTCCCTGCCTCCCTCCCTCTTTTCCTCTCTTCCCTCCCTCCCTCCCTCCCTCCTCCAAATTGGAAGATTTTATTAAAGAGGTTAGATTAAGAAAAAGGGGGAAGGGGTGGGAAAGGCACTGAAGCCTGGAGGTGTCTCCTTAGCATGGTATCCTACAGAAGAGAAATTTTAAATTAGAGCGTACATCGAAGTTCCAGTGTTAACAGAAGAAGCCATTAGAAATCATGAGGTCTGAGGACCTGGGTGATTCTCTTAAAACCATCAGATTCCTGAGACAAGAAATATGATTCGCCGTTTTCTTGGTGATTAGTCTCCTAGTTTGTCCATCTGTTCTTTATGAGTCCAGGCTGTTATACTCAGAGGATGCAGAATATTACTTAGTACAGAGATTCATCATTTTAGGGAATTATATAGCACTTTTGGGATGGGAGAGTAGAAAAGATTTACTTATTGCAGCGTATTTTCTGATTATTTTCTAAGACTACTAAGAACTTGGTAACTATTACTTTTATAGAGGCTGGAGTGATAGTACAAAACTTAGGGCACTTGCCTTTCATGTGGTTGACTTGGGTTTTATGTCAGTACCACATATGGTCCCTAAGCACTGCCAGGAGTGTTCTCTGAACACAGAGCCAGGAGTAACACCTGAGCACCACTGGTTGTGATGCAAACAGAAAAGAAGATAGATGTTTAAAGGAGTGCTGCATGAATGTTTTTTTGAAATAGGAACAATAGGCCAAATAAATTTATCAACGTTTGATGTGGTATAGAGCCTTGGTCCTTGGTGTAGAAAGTTTGAAAACCACTGGTCTAACACCGTGGTTTCTGACTGCTACTTTGTGACTGATACGCAAGACAGGTGTTGGTCTACAGGTATAATAAGGTTAAGTAACACTGGTATATAGAGAATAAGTGTAAAATATTTTAACTTTGAGTCTGGGGAGATAGCTAAAGGGGCTAGAGCCCCCTATTTTCAATCCCCAAAACTTCAGCACTATATGGTTGCCTAAGCACCATCTGGAGTAGCCCCTGAGCTGGAAAGGTTTTTATCTAATGTGGGATTAGTAAAATACTGCACACTCTGAAAGCACAATATTTTTGTTGCTGTTAACGGGGTCTTAAAGCTGTCTTCAATATTTCATGATCTTGGAAGCTAAATTTTGCAAGTCATACTTAAATTCATGGCTTAGAGGTTGTGAGGCATTGTAGTATGGTACAGTTGTCAGCTGTTTGTCTGTACATATATTTATTTTTTGGACAGATTCGTTTATGCTCAGGGATCCTGCAATGCCAGTTGTTTAACTTGGATTTCTGCATGTGGACCTTGTGCTCTGAGTTTTTGAGCCACTGACCCACCTTTTCTCATTTGAAATGCACTTACCAGACCTGGGATATAGCTCAGTGATAGAGCATTTTGCATGTGGAACACTCTAGGTTCAATAATCTGGCACAAAGAAGTAACTTCAATAAATAAAATGTACTTACCTGCCATGATGTCTTTTCTGGGGAGAAGTGGAGAACTTGGGCCACACCCGGTGATACTCTGGGGTTACTCTTGGCTTAGCACTAAGAAATTACTCCCGGTCATGCTCAGGGAACTATTTGGGATGCTGAATATTGAACCCAGGTTGGCCATGTGCAAAGCAAGCATCTTACCCAGTGCACTATTGCTCTGGCACCAAGGATGACGTCTTAACCTGGAGGGCCAGTCACTTTTTTGTTTCCCAGCTCGCTTATAAAACCCTGCTAATGGGTTTACTTCTTGAAAATTGCTTTTACTTGTCTTAATAAAGTGAAAACTGCAAGTAAAGCCTACTAATGGGCTTACCTCTAGAAAATTTCTTTCTTCACTTGTCTTGATATCTAAGAAGCTTTGGGTTCTTTTGCCTGGGAATCATTAAGCAGCCCTGCCAAGATGGGTTATTTCACATAACTGTCTGAGGGAATGGGGATGGCTGTATTCTGGAGATGTGAGCTGCTCAGTATCGTCTAAAACTGCCTGTAGTCTCCGTTTAGGTATGGGCGAGAGCAACTGTGCCTGGAACAGAAAGGCCCTGCTGCACCGGGACACGATGCTAGCAGCTGCGGCTGTGTATAAAGGTAACATTGCTCACCACTCTTCCACCTGTACGTCCCCGAGAGTTTTGCACACTGTCATGTTTATCTCTTTAATCCCCATGCGGAGGCAAGGGAGATCCCTCACAGAGGCTATAGTTCGTGGCTGGCATACACAGGGCCCTAGCTCCCATCCCCAGCATCTCATACTCTCCTTAGAGCCACAGGGTTTGGTCTTCTTGGTGCTCGCCACGCTGGGGATCTCTCTTTTCTTCAACCTAAATCCCCCCAAAAAATCTCCGTGCAGTTTTCTGTAAGTTGCAGTCAGATTTCTTGTTCTCTTCAAAGTACATCTTGTAGCTCCCTATCATTTTTCCCATCTGACTGTACCGTTTCTTTCCTGTTGACTTCTCAGTGTAAGGGTATGTCTCATGAGCCATTCTCAGAATCCTCTCACTTGCCTCGTATCCATTTGTCTTTGAGAGGGATGATTTTTTGCTTTTGTTTTTTGGGAGGCCACACCCAGAGGTGTTCAGGGCTTATTCCTTGCTCTGCACACACGGCTCACTCTTGGCAGGAGTCAGGGTACCATGTGTGGTACTGGTACTCAGGATCGAATCCAGTTCAGATGTGTCCCAGGCAAGCTCCCTACATGCTGTACTATTTTTCTAACCCTGGGAGATATGATGTTGTTGTTTTGTTTTGTTTTGTTTTTCTTTTTGGGTCACACCTGGTGATGCACAGGGGTTACTCCTGGCTCTGCACTCAGGAAATAATCCTGGCGGTAATATGGGGGACCATATGGGCTACTTGGCATTGAACCCGGATCAGCTGCATGCAAGGCTACCCTTGTTGTGCTATCTCTCTAACCCCCACATGATTTTTATTGAGCAACTTTTATTTTCACTACTTGTATGTTTTCAGACTTGAACCAGTTCTTTTTTATTATTATTACTTTTTTTTTCTTCAGTTAGGACACCTTGACTTACAAAGGTTTTCATGTTGGACTTTGTTTTAGGCATCCGATGTTACAGCACCAATCTCACCACCAGTGACCTCAGGCCTCTATCATATTCCAACATGCCATATAACAAATTTATTTCGTATTGCTTGCTCCAGCAAAACTTAAATGGCAAATGGGATTATTGGAAGAGAACTAAAAAAGTCAATTTGCAGTGATTAATTGCCATATGATTTTAATCTATGTTAATAAGGAAATTCAAATATTTAATACAATATACTATACTGCTTATGTGGCTGTGCGATAAATGTACTCAACAAATTATATGCTACTCAACAAATTACATTTCTGTCATTCTGTGAGGACAGGCAAAGAAGACAGAGCAACCTCTGGCTAATTCTTCACCACCATCCTGGAGGTGGAGTCTGGTGGGGGGTTATCTACAAAAACTCACTCCAGTATAACAACACTAGAAAACCAATAGGGAAAACACATAGAAACCCACCAAACTCAGTGAGCAAAACAAATATCACCAAAGACATAAACAACACCGGTATATCTTCAGATAGTCTTTAATGACACTATGATGAGAGTATTCAGTGAGTTCAAAGGAACCATAGCACAGGTAGTCAGCAAAACACAAACAAGTATGAGTCAAAATGAAAACGCTATTGCAGTCAGAAATGAAGAAAATTTGATAGGTGATATAAAAGAATTTAATAAAAGCTCTATAAAAGAGAGACTATAAAACCCAGCTCCCGGAAGAGAACAGCGCAGAGTTTCCTGACCCCGCGCCTGGCTGTCCTCGCCGGGGACCCTTGGAGGGGGGCGGGTTGAGTTTTCCTCCCCACCCCAAGCAGAGCTCCGGCAGCCAAAGACCTCCAGAACCAGCCACCACCATGCTGAGACCACTCTCCACACGCATGAAGGTACTGGCAGAGGAACAAAGGCATGCGGGGCTGAGATCTCCAAGCCTGCTCGGATCAGGGCTGAGTATCCTCCACCCAGATCCTCCATCCTCCAGTAGGCAGGGGTCACACCCACCAACTGACCCCCAGCACCATGTAATCCCGTCAACCGCCAAGACCCAGAGACTATAAAACCCAGCTCCCGGAAGCACGCGGCCACATTTGTGGCTGCGCGACATCTTATTATCTCATTCTTACTTTGGACAACATGGCAGGCTACCGAATATAAGGCAGAGTCTGGCAAACTTCCTGTGGTGTACCCAATATGCCAAATACCAGTAACATTGATGGGTCTCCTTCTCCTAACCCTGAAAGAGCCTTGAATATGGCACTCTTTTAAATCTCAGGGCTAGATTGAAGGAGACATTACTGGTGCCTGTTCAAGGCAATCAACGAACAACAGGATGATCGTGATCGTGAATAAAACCTCTTAACAGCAGAATAACATGCTAAGCATATTATTATTGCTCCAATATGAGATGAAGGAAATGGTTAAGAAACAGCTGAAAGTGGAAAATAGTCTGAAAAGAAATGACAGCATACTAGAGAACTGTTGGATGAGTTCAAGAGAAATAGTATAAAATTGGTTGGAGTCCCTGAAGAACAGAAAGGCAAAGGTGAAGAAACAATAGTTAAATCAGCGATAAGATTTCCCCACAGGCTTGAGGATTACAGGCACTGGGATCCAAGAGACCTGAAGGGTCCCAGTGTAAATAGCCAATTAGAAAAACTCCAAGATACATAATATTCAAAATGACAAAATATAAACATAGAGGCAGGATATTGGGAGTAACAAGATCAGAAAAGGAACTTACACAAAGGAAAGCCCATAAGATGTACAGCATATCTTATCAAACAAGATCATGAACCAGAAGAATTGGGAAAATATAGTTAAAAAACTCAAAAAACTAAACACTTCACCAAGAATAATCTATCCTGCTAGACTATCATTCAGATTTTGAAGAAACTCCACAGAACTTCATGGATAGACAATAGCTTAGGGAATTTACAACCTTGAAGCCAGTTTTGCAAGAAGCATTCAAAGAGCTCCTTTAAAGGACAGGAGAAACTTCCTACTATGTTTCATTGAATATGGCACTCACTAATGATATATATATACATATATATATGTATATATATATATGTTGTCCTCTATTAGATAAAGAAAGGTTAAAAACATCATTTGTCACAAATTGACTTATTGAAATATTATCTAATTATATTTGCAATTTTTTTACATTTTTGGACCAAGTATTATGAAGTAAATGTTATATGCTTTCCAAGGGAGGGGGGTACTAAGCCTCATTTACTACAGAAGATTTGATGATTACTGCAATAAGGTTCAAGTACAAAATAAAATTTACTGCAATATTTTTTAGATGCCAGTGTTGAAAACTTAGTTATGTAAATGAGAATGGATTTAAGCCATTTCTTTTCTGTTTGTAGAAATGTACAGAAATGAAGATGGTTCAGTGCCTGCCACGTATCAGATCTATTACATGATTGGATGGAAGTACCATGATTCACAGGTGACAGTCAGACAAATCACTTTTCTTAGTGATTTCTTGTTTTCATTTGATTTTTATTGTATACTAACTTAGAATGGGGAAATTCTTGAATATAATACAGTAGTAAGGGATTGAATCATGACTCTCTGTTTCTGATATCTTAAATTTTTATGATTCTTTTCAGGCAAAACCAGCTGAAAGAGGTTCGGCAACTGTATCATTTGGCGATCTCGGAAAGTTAAGCAGTCGTATGTCACAGGACAGAAAATCACAATAAATACTTTTTTTTTTCAATACTAATGTCCAGAATTTTCATGAGATGGGTAATTTTCACTTTCAGATTGTGATATAAAAAGCCATGTGTATACTTTACTAACAGATTTCTAATAATTACAATCTAATACATCTACCAGACTGGAGCGATAGCACAGCAGGTAGGGCGTTTGCCTTGCATGCAGCCAACATGGCTGACCCGAGTTCAATTCCTTCGCCTCTCTCGGAGGGCCCGGCAAGCTACCGAGAGTATCTCGCCCGCACGGCAGAGCCTGGCAAGCTACCCGTGATGTATTCGATATGCCAAACACAGTAACAACAAAGTCTCCAATGGAGACGTTACTGGGCCCGCTCCAGCGAATCAATGAACAATGGGAGGACAGTGATTCAGTGTGAATACATCTGTATTTATTAACTATTTCCATTTCTTGTGTCTTTTGGGAGGAGGAGGGGATAGTGCCATATCTGACTGTTCCCAGGGTTTCCTCCTGGCTTTGTGCTCAGGAATTATTCCTGGTGGTGACAATGTGGGGTGCTGGGAATCAAACCCAGGTCAGCAGCTTGAAAGGCAAGCTCTTTAACCCCCATTTTATGGTTTCTTTCTTTAACTGAATCACAGTTAGAGACACAGTTACAAAGTTGTTCATGATTGGGTTTCAGTTATACAGTGTTCCAACATCCCTTCATCGTGTGCATTTCTTACCACCAATGTCCCCAATTTCCCCCCCCTCCCCCCTCCACCCTCCTCCCTTGGTCATTATGGTCAGCAATACAGGGGGTTCTTCTCTGTTAATATGAATATTGTTATCTTGTGATTTTAGTGCTTTATTTGCAAGTTCAGCCCAAAAGCAAGAAGATTCTTCTCTGAAAAACATATATAAATTCCAGTCATTTGGGGAAAAAATCCTTAATTGTGCTGATATTTTGTATCTTTATTTCATTCAGTTGTTTTTATTATTTCTGGAGACAACCATAGTCATGATGATTAGGAAAGAATAATTTGGTACATTCTTTATAATTCTGGTTCATTTAGAATGAAAATACAGTTTCTGTAAGAATTACTCTAAAATTAAGTCTTAATTATTAGTCTTACTATCATCTTTGCCATAAAGAGACACAGAGCTATTTAGATATAGCTTCTCTAGAGCTATTTAGTTCTGTGCTTTAAAGTATTCTTTATTGAATCTTCCCTTACCTTTTTAATTGTTTATTTTTCACCTCCATGATCTAATTGAAACCAAATTATCATTTTGCATTCCATCCTACCATAGGTAAGGAGAATATTTTTAAGAATTAGAGAGTATGAGAAATCATACGGGGTTAGAACATGTGCCTTTTATATGACCAGGGTTCGATCCCTGGCACCAGGTTTGTTCACCCTAGCCCCACCAGGAGTGATCCCTGAGCATAAAACTAGGAGTAAACTTTTTTTTCCCTTCTTTTTGGGTCGCACTCGGCGATGCCCAGGGGTTACTCCTGGCTCTGCACTGAGGAATTACTCCTGGAGGTGCTCAGGGGACCATATGGGATGCTGGGAATCGAACCCGGGTCGGCCACATGCAAGGCAAACACCCTACCCGCTGTGCTACATCTCCAGCCCTAGGAGTAAACTCTTGAGTACACACTGAGTACAACTCAGTGTGGCCCAAAACCAAAAAGAGAGCGGGGCAAAATAGCTGCACGAAGATGAAAAATGCTGTTGTGTTTTTCTCATTTCAGACACTATTTTGACACTGCTTTAATATTTGGCAGTAGTATTTTAATTCAGGTCCACTGTCCAGTCATCAAAATTATTTGGAGGCAGGAGTGGAAAGATAATACACAGTTAAGGCATTTGCCTTGGCACCACATACTGTCTTCTGATCACTGCCAGGAGCGATCCAGGTGTAGCCCCAAAACCTCAAAGAACAACTGCAAATTGCTTGGAGGCATAATATTATTGAACAGTGTTGGGGTGAAGATGGCTACAGCTCACTGAGTCCAAGTCTCCGTCTGTATAGGCTTTGACAGCCTTTTTATTTGACTTAGGTTTTTCTTCAGTTTGAAGTAATGTCAGTTTCTCTGTTTTCTCCTTCCCTCCTTCCAACTCCCCACTCCTGAAAGCTTTTTAGAAAATTCATTGGTATTTGAAGCTGGGATATTCCTGGGAGCTTTGGAGCTTTGGGTGTCTGCATGTGTGTGTGTGTTTGTGTGTGTGTGTGTGTGTGTGTGTGTGTGAGAGAGAGAGAGAGAGAGAGAGAGAGAGAGGAGAGAAAGACAAAGGAAAAGGTACCTAGGAGAAAGAAGACAAAAGGTAAAGGTGCCTAGGAAGCACATTATAAAAATGGGGGTTTGTTGTTCATTTTAATTTAAATATTTCTGAATTAGGGTCTGGGAATGATAGATTTGACTGCCTTGCCACGAGACCATGAGTTTGATCCCAGGCACCACCCTACATCTCATTGGGTGTCTCCACAGGCATGGTCTTGTGGTCTCACCCACAGCCTAATGGGCGAGTGTCCAGCATTACGCTTTCAGTAGCAGCAAAAGGGAAGGAGAAGAAGACAAGTGTATTAAATTTTTTTTCAGAGACCAACTAAATTTTTTGAAGAGACCAACAACAAAGAACCCTTTGTAAACTGATTGTAAACTGATGACTGAAGAAAAATTGAATTCCCTGATATCTGTTTCCAAAAGCAGTCATTTACAGCTTTCAGTCTGTGGATGGATGCCAGTGTACAGACATTTTCTGCTCTTCTTTGAAAGGTTATTGCCACTAAATGCAGTCATTTTGAGCCACTGTTCCATGGACTGATGCCAGTGCACAGATGTAAAGAGGTTGAAAACCACTGTCCTTGGTTTATGTACATTTGCTTTTAAAGAGTGCAAAGAAAACTTTGTAGCCATGGCTGAGGAAATGGTCTGAAAGTGTCATTATATGCAGTGTTAGGAGTGTAAGAAACAGGCCAAAAGTTAAGTGGAAGACTTGTAGTTTTCTTTTCTTTTTTGTAGTTTTTGTATACATTTGGAAATTCCTGACTGAGGACATTGCTTTTCTTTGTGTCATAGTAATGGAGGGTTGAGTATAGGGAGGAATCTACCTGTCTCATAAAACAAGCTTGAATTAGTTCTAAAAACTAAAAACTAAAGGAAAGAAAAGTTACTGAGAACTCTTAAAGTATAAGTAGAGGTAGTAAAGTTACTTTTGAGTGACGGTAATGTATGTGTATATATATATATATATTTTTAATTAATGGCTTAAAGCATCTATCAAACTTTGTTAGGAAACCACAGGGAATTCATTTTTTCTGAATAGTTGTGTTTTCCAAATAATTAAGCACCTATTTTTTCTAAGCAACAAAACTTAAAGTATCTTTCTTATCAAAAGTATTTTCAGTGAATATTTTATTCTTAAAGAGTCCGAAGTGCAACCCTTTATAACCTTGTGCTATTTTCATGAGCTCCAGATATGCAGCATTGTTTGCTCCAACCCTGATCTAGTCCTAGAAGGATATGGTTTGTTTTATGTCTCTGTTCCAACACTTTTCTTACTGGTAGTTAGTAAGCTTGACAAAAATGAGCTTACTCAGTTCCTTCTGACAGGAAGCAAAGGGGAATAAGATTTATGGAGAATGTCAGTCCTTTGTAGTAAATGGTTTTATTGATTCTTACCAAATCTTCGTGGAAGTCTGTTGCCATGCTCCAACTCTTGTCAGTTAAGGCTTCATTGTGAGCCACTGGGACTACTGGCTGACTGCTGGGAGGCTTTTCGGAAAATTGAAAGAGCATTGATTTACATTATCGTGTTTCAGGAATGCTTTTTCTTTCCTCTTCAAATTTGTCATACTCCGTCTACTCTCCAAGTGCTAAGATCCCCACATCTCCCTTCACTCACCCTATAGCTTCCTTTTCCTTCCACCAGTCTGCTTGGATACAATGAAATATTTCCTGGTTTTTATCAGTATTCCAGATTGTAGGCCTGGAAAATTCCAGAGGTTGCAATATAAATAAAAATTTATATATATATATATAAAATAGTTTTTTTTTCATTTTTAAAAGTCATTTTATTGAGATGTAAGGTACCCATAGATACTAGGTATGTGATATGAATATAAAAAAGATGTACTTAAAGAAGTGTATCACTCAGAAAGTATCTGTGGAGCAAGTTTTGTTCTTTTCCTTACATTTTTAGTACCATTTATATCCACTAGGTGGAAACAGTTCCAGTATGGCCTGTTTTGAAAATATATATACAGTTTTTAGTTAATGTATCAATCCTTTAAATATGGATGGCATAAAAGTGTTTTGCTCCAGATTAGCTTCTGTATTTTAGAAAAATGATTAATAGGTATATGGAAAACAGATACTTGATATTGTACTCCTTTTATTCCTTTTTTATTCTTTACCAGGGTTACTTGACAAATATGTATTTGGCTCATTTAGAAAAAATTACTATGAAAATAATAGGTGGTACAGCAGGCACTGGTTGTTTAGAAATAAGGCAATTGACCAGAGTGATAGTAGGGCTGGTTAGTACTTCCCCTTGCACATAGCTGGGTTCAATCCAGCACCACATATGGTCCCCTGAGCACTGCCAGGAGTGGTCCCTGAATCCAGAGTCAGGAGTATGCTCTGAGCACAGCCAGGTGTGGCCCCAAACCAAAACAAAGAAAATAAGATGCTTTGGTATTTGTGGTGATTTTTAAAAATCCACCGGTTCTTTGATACGCTTCTAAGAGGTGGGACAAACTTCATTCTCTTTTGATTATGGGCTGAATGTAATGATTTCCTCCCACCAAGTATAGCAGGCAGTGATGGCATGTTCCTTCTCCCTTGTTCTGTCTGTGCTCACTCATTCCTGAGAAATCAGCTCCCAGGACACCAAAACAACACTCTGGAGAGAGTGTGAAGGAGGAACAGGCCCTATGGCCATGTGAGCGAGCCTGCTTGGAAGCAGGGTCTCCGGGCGCTAGCTTCAGACCACCATGCTGTTCGCCAACATCATGCCAGTACAGTGAGGCACCTGGAGCCACGACG